CTTCCTCATAACACTACACTCTCAATATATTCGCAGGCCTCTGCTCTGAAGTTGCCTGAGGTCAAACATAATGAGGTCACTGTGAGGCTTTCATGTTTGTTTCTGTGCCAATGTAATGGTGCTAAAATGAGGTCAGGTTAAAAATGCTGGTGTGGCTCCAAAATGAGGCCCTTCACAAAGAGAAATCAGCTTCAACACAGTACTGACCCAGTTGGGAAAAAGTTCTGCTATGGGTTTCTTTCAGATGATGATCTTCCTTCCTACTGTGTATTTCCAGTAGTTTTATATCAGATTTTCAGCATTCAGGTTTTTTTTTCATTTTATCTACACTGTTACCATGGAATCTCATTACACTCTGCCTCAGTTGGTACGCTTGTCTCTGAGTCAGATGGCAATGGGTTCCCTACATCAGTACTTTGAGCTTACAGTCTAGGATGTCACTCCAGTGCATCCTAGACAGGAATGTGCTGCATTCTTGGAGGTACTGACCATCAGATGAGACATTATACCGAGATCCCATTTGCCTGTTCAGGTAAACATTAAAGATCCCATGGCATATTCGAAAAGAAAGGGGAGTTTCTCCTGGTGTTCCAACCAACAATTCCCCCAGATAAAAATTGGTCATTCACACTTCAAGGCTGTTTGGGAAATAATATTGTATGCAAATTGGCTGCTTCATTCCCCTACAAAATACACAGTCACTACATTTCACAGTAAAATCTTGTGAAATGCTTTGAAACACTTTGTATATCAAATGCAGATATACTGAGAACAATTGCAATTATTATACAATGTATTAAAAATGTACACTCACCTTCAAAGTTTTACCATTGTTCAGTGAAGAGTGGGAAATAGATGTTCAAAGTTTCCAAAAGTAAGGTTTAGGTGGAAGTGTGTTTGGAAAGATGTCTGCTTTCTGGCACTCTTTTATTATGTGTGCCATAATTATACTGTTAACCTCTTCTTACTTTATTTGTATTACAGCAGAAGTCATGTGCCGGGCAGCTCAGTGTGAACATTCTTTGGAGTTAGTGACATGTTTTTGAGGGAATCTGGGGTGAGGGAAATTCCAGCATTCCTAAAACATAGTTCTTGAAATAATGATGGGCTAAAAATTGTGATTCAAACCTATAGTTAAATATTGATAGGTTTGGGAATAAAGATCCCACCTCCCCCTGAGGTTAGCACACAATAATTTTGTTCAAAGAATCTTTGCAAAAAGTACTGCCGCTATTTTAGACAAGAAGCTGGTGAGTTGAGTGCAGCTTCGCAGGATACTGATTTTTTAAGCTACTCTGCAATGCAAGGATTATTATTATAATAATTATTGTAATCTAATTCTGGTGGTGTTTGTTCATAAATGATCTTAGAGTTCTGTTGCTATGAGTCAATTATGATAAAGAATGAATTTCACACCATGATTCACACTTGTATGTTGTAGTGGTGCAATATTTGTTTTATTCTGTTTTGAACTGCATTACTAAAGAGAATGGGCACTGATTGCTTCAAATAGTGAAAACATAAAGTGCTTTATAAAGAGAGCACACAGGAGACCGGTCAGTGTCTGAAAGAAGATAGGTTGACGTTTCATGGGTTCCGCTGTAGGGTTAAATCATTAAAACATTGTCATTTATCCCGGTTTTATGGAGTTGCTGTTCTCTTCATCAGCTCAGGTTTGCGGTGAACAAGGCCATAAATACATCAATATTATTCATATAAAACCAGTTGAGTCATGAGTAGAGATAAAAGGGAAGTAGTAAAAGGACTCTGTTCTGAAGGAGGGTCAGAGTCGAGCCATTAACCTCTTTCTCTTTCAGATACTCGTTGCCCTGCTGATTTCCAGTCCTTTTTTGCCTTTATTTCAGATGTTGCCATTTATGTGTTTTTTTTCTTTTGATCTCTTTCATTTTATGTTTGCTGCAATGCTAGACATAAGGGAGGACTGTCGCTCTGTCTGCAGATTTCAGACAAATATCTATTCAGTACATAGGGAGGGGTCGTATTCAAGGTCCATGTGATATTTGTCTGTGGGCCGGGTTACATCATTGAGCTTTCAGTTTATGGCTTTCAACCAGACACCTGGCGACATATGGTCATTCTGTATTTTTGTTTACTGGTATTCCCGGAGCCAGCGGGGAAAAAACACGATCAACAAGCCCAATTCCTCTCACTTCTCCATTCATAAATGCACGATGGGGTGGATGGTGGTGTTGGAGTGCGGGGGAAAAAGCGAAGGGTACACCTTCAACCTTGTGAATGTGAGAAATATCATACAGACCACACATCTCACCTAACTGGCACAGCTGTCACTAAAACACCAAGTCAATGTGATCTTTTGTTGTTTGGCTTCATCTTATCAAATGCCCTCTGTAACCATCTTAATTTCTTAGTTACGGGGGAGTGGTGGCAAACACTTTCACCTGATGTCAAGGTACTTTGTTTACCTCTGTTCCATCCCCCATCAACCCCCACCTCACAATTAAGCATTTTACTAGACAAGTTCTGCACATTGGTTCTCTTTGAACTTTGACATTCATTCAGTTCAATAGAGGCATTGAATTTGTGAGCCATTTGTTCTTTGAACCTTCAACTCATTCATCAAGGGGACACTGCCATCTTTGACACCAGATGGATTTACAGTAAACACTGTGAACTGATTGTTTGCTCAGAAGCCATCTCTGCACCCAGAGGATGAGGGGAATCTACAGGCAGTACCTCAGAAGTCTATAGAGGAAGAGTCAATAGGGATGTTTAAAAGGGAGATAAGATACTTGGGAATTAAAGGTATTAGAAATATGGGAAAAAGGGTGGGAAAATGGGATTAAAAGATTTGCCATAATCTAATAAACTGATGGAACTGGCTCAATGAGCTGAGCAACGTCTTCCTGTTCACAAGAGCAAGTGTGGAAGCTTTGCCAGGAACGAGACTCCAGAAACAATAAAGTTTTAAAAGTCTGCTAGCTTTTAAGATAATTGGAGATAAGATTTTTTTTTGCTGTCACATCATTCTCCTCTGCAGTCCAGTTCATTAAGGATTTGGCTTGAATGAGGTTAGGTTTTAGAATAAAGGACCCAGATTCCTGTTCTTTGTGAAGTTGAAAATTTACTGTCACAAGACGAACCATTGGAAAGTATGGCTGCAACAACCCATCTCGCCAATCTACTCTTACCCTACTCCTCCACTCAGTTCACTCAGGCTTGCTGTGAATCTCCCACACTCTCCCTCCGCAACACCATCGATGTCTGAGCCTTCAGGTCTTATGCCCCGAACCTCTGGAACTTCCTCCCTCTACCAGTCCAACTACCACTCTCTTTGTATCTAAGTCTTGCATCAACTTCTACTTCTTCGAACCTGTCTATGCCCATCTCCACCTTGTCCAGAGTTCAACTCTGTCCCTGTAAAGCTCTGTGATATTATCCTTCATACTATATAAATTGTTGTTATTTAGCTGGTAGATTAATAAGAAAATCATTTTCATGGATTCTCTCTCCAATACTAACAGTATTGTCTGTTGGTTTTCTAAAACTTAGATTAACATAACACACTTTTGTCAAGAAACCATTTCTGTATTTATATATAAGTGATAAGAAATCAGAATGGATACAATGAACTCTGTACATTTATAATATTCTGCCTTTATTGACAGTATTCTTTATCTGCATGGTGGCATAACAATATTTTCCATATACAGTAATAACATTTCAACTCGTATATACACACAGTGCTTATGTAAAGATAGTTAAGTCATATTTGTAACACAAATTCTGAACAGCATTAAAGCAAAGCTGCAATGATTTATCTTTCATAGAAAGAAAATTTTTTTTTGTACAATACTTTCCAGGCATGACTTTCTCAAATTCAGGTGCAATTCCAAAGTCAGGCCCAATTTACAATCCTTGTATTTTCCCAGGATAGCAGAAAATTGAAGGTATTTAGCTAAGGGCATGCTTGGCCCAAACTTCTATCTCGTATTGGTCTTGAAGACCATTTTGTCTTAACAGTTACAATCACAGAAAATTGTGTGCAATTCTTAAACCCAATCTTAATTTGGAAGCTAGTTAAATAGAATTCTATAAACAATACACCATGAAAACAGGCCATTTGGCCCAACTAGTCTGAGCCCTGTTTCTAGTCCACACTTGCCTCACTATTCTAAACCCCTCTATTCTCTTTTCACTCATGTATGCATCACGGTTCCTGTTAAATATGTTGATGTATTCTGCTTCCAGCAGTGAGTTCCACATTCTCACAGCCCCCTGTGGATCTTATTAAGAACCAAGGAAAACCTGCTCCAAATTAAGACTTAAGAATTTTCAACAATTCTGCACAATGTTAAATTTGAAGGTGAAATGATCTTACAGGTTAAGACTAGGTGAAATTTTAGGCCTATCGTACTTGTGACATCCTGGCCTATTAAATGAATTAATAGACCTAGTTTAGGAAATGATCCATAATTAGAGCAAAGAGGCTAAACTGCATTACACCGATACAAATAACTTTTATATCTGTATTCTAAGCAAATAATGTAGAGCTCAATTACTATTTGATAGTCAGATATAAAGACTTCCTTTCACTTGTGTAAATATAATATTTAAGAATATATATCAGTAATATGACTTATTAGCTATACATTTTCCTGAAAATGAAAGCAACCTCATTGGTGTATCTAAGAGTTGTATTCATTTATAAGATATAAAAAAATGCACTGTGTGGTGTGGCATTGAAATAATAGTAATAAATAATCTTTGCATTTGATACAGCGCCTTATTACATCAATGAGATGATTAAAGCGCTTCACAGAATATACGGCAGCTAATTATGCACCACAGTGTCCCACAACAGTCGTGGATTGAGTGACCAAATAATTATTTTTGTTCTTTTGAAAGGAATTATTACCCCCAGAAAAGCGACCCACAAAATGACGAACAACCGGATAATTACTGCTAGGTAAATAGAGACGTGTGGATTAAGGAAACTTGCCTAACGTTTTGTCCTGGCCAGGAATCGAACCCAGGTCCTCTCGCTTGCAGGCAAGTGCTCTAACCGATACAAGACCCCACAAGTGTTACAATTGACCTCAGTTAAAGTTAGTTAAAGCCAAACATCAGTTAAGGTTCCTGCTCCTTATCATTATCCATTGATACCCTCTCGTTCCCCTCTCCCTCTCTATGAAACATGCACAAGAGGACAGTGTCTCCCAAAGTAAAATAGCCTATCAATGCTGCCTGGACACACACATAACAAATGGGCATTTGGTGGAACTACTGGAGGGATGTGAGCTATGAAACACAGTTCTACTTGGGCGACCTCCTTCTGGAAAGAAGGGAAGAAAAGTATAAAAGATAAAAAGTCATCTGCTGGAGGCAAATATTATAATATTCAACATTATTCAAGTCTTTAAATCAGCAATCTTTACTGATACATTATATGAAGTAAACTTAGAATTTTGGCTTAATCATATGCTGATAATCAAAACCTCAACTGTACAAATAATTACAATAATATATTTGTTAAGAAACACAAACTCAAAACCATGAGTGCTCGAGAACCATCTCGAAGTGGCTTCAGTGACGGTTTGGAACAGAGGATGAACTAAATGTCAGTCATCGTAAAAGCTATTTCTTCACAGAAATTATGAGCAGAACTGGGTCAAATGGTTTCATTGGAGCATCGTCCTTAAATAAAAACTGTTGATGGAATAAAATATTCAATGGTAATGATAGCAGCTTTGCTTTGGGAGGAAGGCAGGCCCAGCTGATTTATCTCTTCGCTTCAAATAATGACCTGCAGCCTTCCAAATAGGTGAATGGAAATCTGCATTCAAAGTTGTGATTAATTCTGCGAAGCTTGAATATCCTGGTTCTCTACCATTGGTAGCTGCTCTCTCCAGAACGTGAACTGACTGTAGGTATCTGAGCAAGGGAAGTCGGAGGAGTGTTCTCGCTTCAGCAGAGGGAACACATGATCCACTATTTCACTCAATCGTACGTAACTGAAAGAAAAGAATATGGTTCTGCATTAGAAATTCAGCACAGCATTACACTGGAACAAATGGTATAGTTTCAGACCCTTGGATTTCCCTAATGGTTTTAATAAATAATTACTTTGAATCAATGTGAATCCCCTGTTAACACAGTTATACGTCCCAGTTCACATTCCATGCGTATATTGTAGATAAATGAACACGCAACATGCAATACATAACATGAATCAATGGGGAAAAAAACCTCTAGGATCCAGATCTGAGTTTGTTAGTACGGAGGGCTCATACTTCTATTCTTTCACTCATACTTTTACTTGAAAAGGATGTTTGGCCATGCAGACAGTTGTTTACTCTGCACAGGCATTTGGTAACTATCTTTGCTAAATTCAAATCCAAACAGGGGGCAGAACTGAGAATTAAGGTAGAGGTCTGAAGTGTTGATGATAAAAATTTACTGAAACCCTATATCAGTAATGTTTGCATGTCAAAAGATCCAGTAACAGAAGCAAGTGAAAAATTGGGCCATATTTTTGTACTCTGATTAAATATATTACACAAACTCACACAAGTCATATTAGTTGGGACCATAACATTTAATATGACTTACATGAAGTCCGAGTTGGAGGCAAACTGGTAAAGTCGTATTAAATCTGATTTGATCGATAATCTACACTGCACATGCACAATTCAATGCAGCTAGTTATGTGCGCATGCGGTCACTACTTAAGACTATGTTTCCACAATTCAATGAGTCTTCATGTGCACTCACTAGCAAACATTGGAATCGCACTGAATTGCGGAAAATGAAGATCTTCTGTGCACGTGTCGACGGATCAAGTCTATGTTTCCCGTGATTCAATGCAGCTGGTAAGTGCGGAAGTAATGAAGGGTAGGAGAGCAGCGTTATGAGTTAGGAGATAATAAATAGGACTAGTGCAATTAAATCTAAATGGTTTTGATAGGAAACTGAATGTGACTTGGGTGGATGTAGGACTTAGACGATTATATGATTTATAAAGGTAAAACTCATGCGAGTTTTACCTTATACAATCCTAAATCAGTTAGGTGGTAATGGCTTATACTTCTTTGTTTCTGCATCTTATAACCGCCATGTGTTATCGTTGATCTCGTTGATCTCTCATTCCATCTGCCTCTAATTCCACCTGACTTTGTCTATTTCCTTAGTTAAATGGTGGCAGCTGTGAATTCCCAGTAATTCCTCCCTCTCCAGTCTGAGCAAGTAAGGAATTGCTGTGAGAGTCTTGATAAAGACTTTTCATTCACACAACACCACATCCTTCCAGCATTATACGTAGAAACATCCCCACAAGTGACAGAGTAATTCATTTTCGAACCAAAAGCATGTGAGGCCAATGAATTCAAAATAGAGTAAAATTAATTTATGCTGCATTTTGAAAAGAATCATTAAAATATTCAGCACAGAAGTAAATAATTCGGGGTATCGAATTTGAACTGGCTCTCAGAGCAAGGTGTTCATTTAATCCCATTGCTAGGCCTTATCCCGAACCCCTTCAAGCTTCTATCTTTCACATATCCCCGCTTCCCTCTTGAAACCCACAATAGACTCAGAGTGGTTGGGATGCGGAATGCACCTCATTTGGCAGTGCATTCCACATCCCAACCACTCTGAGTGAAAAAAAGTTCTCCTCAGTTCTCCTTTCATTCTTCGAATCATAGAATCTTACAGCACAGAAGGCCATTCAACATATCGTGCCTGTGCTGGCTCTTTGAAAGAGTTACCAACTAGTCCCACTCCCCCGCTCTTTCCCCATAGCCTTGCAACTATTTTCCTTTTCAAGTATCTATCCAATTTAATCCAATTAACCAACCCTTCTTGTATCTATGGTTCGTCTTCACTGACTTCCCTACTGCTAGTGGAAACAGTAGGATAAACCAAATAAAATGCATAATTACATTGTTGGTTACACCGAATTTGGTTGTGTAATCTTACCCGCCTTTTATAGTTGACCTCACTGGACTGTCCTCTAGTGGAAGAGTAGAACAGTCTAGGTCTTAGGCCTAGTCCGCTCAATTGATTAAAAAGTTCACTTCGGACAAAGAAGCGTGTGGATTTTAGCACCTCTTGGCAGAAAAAAAAGCTAGAAAATAAATATCTTAACAAACAAAGAGCCCAATGGAGCGCCCAAAGTAAATAACCAGCAACTCAGATTCCAAAAAGGGCAAGTGCTAAGTTAGAACATGAAGCATTCAGTTAATTGGAGGGGCACACTGCCACCTGGTGGGCATTGAATAAAGACCACTGCATATTAGATTACCTATATTTTAAGTAACGTAGTTTGCATTTCATTCACAGCAGCTTTCAGAAAAAAATCTCCTTCACTAAGTTACAACTAGAAATGAGTTGGTGTTTACTCACGATGATACGTTGGTCTTTGCATGTTCCTGTATCAGTTCGCCCTTTGGATTGACTGTAAAAATCCTATTTATTGGGACTCCCACTTGTTTATACGAATAGACATCCTGTAAAAGGAAATACTGCATCATTAACAGTAATAGTAATCATTGCATTTGATAGAAAGCATAACACACCATGGATAAAGGGATTAAGGAATACGGGGATAAGGTGGGTAGGTGGAGTTAGAAAACATCAGCCATGATCTTATTGAATGGCGGAGCAGCCTAGAGGGGCCGAATGGCCTACTCCTTCTCCTAATTCTTATGTTCTTACATCCCAAAGTGCTTCACAGGATATCATGTAAAGTGGAATGACTGTAATTTGTAAATTCTATCCTTGATTTTGGTCACTATCCTGGGGTGGGGTGAAAACAAGTCAAAGTGCTTGCTTCTTGAAACCTACACTTCTCAAGCTCAATTTCAAAGTTGCAGAGAATGCTTGAATTCTACTTTATACCATCAACCGAAGTTCACTGATTCATTTCAGAACATAACTTGGGTGAAAATTATACTGCAGGAAGCAGGTATTATCAATGAAATGGCCACTAAAAATACTACTTTATAGAGAAGAAGGAATTGTAAACAAGGGACAAAAATGGCTGAGAGTTTTCATAACTCACTGGACACCAGGATAGTTCCAGAGGACTTGAAAATAGCTTGTGTTCATTTTTAAGCAAAATGTGATCCAATGTGATCTTGAGAATTATGGGCAAATAGTCAGAGACCTTTAGAAAAGATGCAATAAGGGAGTAAGCAAAGCACCAATAATAATAATTCTTGCATTTGATATATTGCCTTATCACATCGGTGAGAAGTCTCAAAGTGCTTCACAGAATATATCGTAAAGTGGATTGACTGTACATTTTATGGGAGAAACACAGGAGCCAATTGCATACAGCAGTGTCCCACAAACAGTCGTGGATTGATTGACCAAATGTTTTTATTTCTTCATTTATTGTTGAAGGGATAAATAACCCTGGAACATGATCTATCGATCGACTAATAACGGGGTTCCTACTTACTGCTAGGTAAACAAAGGTGTGTGGAGTAATGAAACTTGCCTAAAGTTTCGTCCCACCCAGGAATCAAACCCGGGTCCTCTCGCTTGCGAGGTGAGTGCTCTAACCAGTACGCTACAGAACTCCAAGTTAACAATCAAAAGTCAACGTGGGCTTGTAAAAGGCAGGTCAGACCAAACAAACTTATTTGGAATACTTTTTAAGGGCCATAGGGAGCCAGGGAGAAATTCCACTCAAGTCTCAAATCTCCTATCTGATCAGAGCATCCAGAATTTGGCAAATTGTTGAATTCAGTTTCAACTTTGAAGCTGGTTTTCCATAGGTCTTAAACAGAACTTACAGAAAAGCGGCTTCAACATTAAAGACTTTATTTAAGAATTTGCCAATTTCTGAGATGCTATCAAAAAAGTAAACCTAGACACAGATGCAATTTCTAACCTTAACTGTGTAATGGAAATGTGGTTAATCTTATGTAGTCAGATTTTCCCATGAGAGGCTTGCAGCTAAAAGTTCATACATGATTATGATTTTTAATTGTAAACCCTACTCATTTAATAGATGCTACTAAACCCTAACATTTATAAGCTACATTATTGACTATCGTGGGCTGAGTTTGCCCTCCATCCCTCTCGACTCCAACCCTCAGCTCAGGTGGAAATCCTTGACTGTGTCTTGGGACGTCTTCCCGACATGAAAGGCGCGTTAAAATGCAATTTGTTTGCTGTTGTTACTTGCCACAGAGCACGGTGTTTGAGCTTTGGTTCAAGGGATGCTGGCTTAACCTGGATTTGTTATTAAACAATTCAAGGTGGTTTAGCACGACGTAAGAGCTTTGAAGAGACTGGTTTGGGGGAGTGAACCCGGTGCGATTCCTGCCCACCAGTCACAACGCTTCTCAAACCAGCTACTCCATCTGGTTCACGTTCCTGTAGAACATGTTTACTGCACGTTGGCTGGGAAACCCCTGCCAAAAGTGCAAAGAAACACCATCAAACATGAAGCTTTAAACAGATCAGCATACAATCCATCAGTGTGAGTAACAGAACATGTTCAGGCAGAGATTCTCTCTCTCAGAATTCCACTGATGCTTATGAATGAATTACTGCTTAGCAATGTACTGCCAACTATTATCTTGTGGTCATGTCTGAACCACATTTGTATCAACATCTCTCAGTCAGTTTCATCTTTCAGTAATCACCAACACAGCAACACACCCTCCATTTGTTTTACGCTGTATATTACTCATTTTGGATTTTTACAGAATAGGACTGAAGTAAATGTTACAAGGCTGCCTATTTTGGGTCACTTGCCATTGCAATCAATCGAACAGCAAGTTATAGAAATTTTAACAGTGAGAATTTAAATACTTATTATAAATCACATTATCAACGTGATCCGTTTCAGGGGTAGATGAGCTGGAGACCTCACATGTGTCCGTTATTTAATAAACATTCAGATTTTGCATCGACTTGGAACAATGATTGCATTCAGGGAACCAGGAATTTGCATCACCTGCTGTGAGCGTTGTAAAACTTGAGTGGGAGTGAGAGACCTCGACAAAGAAATAAAGTTATATTCCAATGTCAATTTTGACAAATTTGTTAAAAGGTTCTGAATGGAGCAATTGCTTAGTTTAGCATTGTAAGGGAACATGTACCAAATAGAGAGAGAAGGGAATAGAAGAATATGGTAGGGAATAAGGAGTGGGTGGACACGTGTGGAATATAAACACCGGCACGGACCGGTTGGGCCAAATGGCACGGAGTGGTTGTGCCATAACATGCACTATTCTATTTTTCCCCACATAACTTATGTGTAGGCCTGGCAATGTGGTAGCACTCTCACTTCCGAGACAGAAGGTTGTGAGTTCAAATCCTGTGTCAGGTCTTAGAATCACATAGTCTACGACGATACTCTAATGCAGTGGTTGGAGTGTGTAGCATTGTCAGAGGTGCCATCTTTCGGATGAGAAGTTAAACCGAGGTCCCGTCTGCCTGCTCAGGTGGTGTACTTCAATATCCCATGGCACTATTCGAAAAGAGAAAGGAGTTTCTCCCGGTATCGTGGCCAACAATCTCCCAAATAGAATTGGTGACTCATTCCATGGTTGTTTGTGGAACACTGCTGTGTGGCACTGGTTGCCATGATTTGCCCACAAAATACAGTCAATACATTTTACCATATAGTCTGTGAAGCACTTTCAGACGTTTCAATGATGTGATAAGGCACTAAATGAAATGCAAGGATTATGATTATTTTATGACTATGTTATATATTCAATTCTGACAAATCACAGATTCTGTTGCTGGAAATGTGGCTTACATTAGGTCGGTTTCCAAAAGCGCCATAAAAGGGTTCCTTATTTGGGAAAAAGAGATTTCTGATGTCTGTCAGACACTGGATCTTAAATTTCTCAGGCTTCTTTTCAATTACTTCTCTGAAACAAAAGATCAACAAAATATATCAATTAAAAGATGAAGCCCTTGACACTGAATTCTAATCTGACAGGAAAAGACATGTTTTTTATTGAATATCAGCCAATTTAGCAAAAACAAAGTAATCTACCGTGAAATATGTTTTCAATTAAAAACTATACATTTGCTTTCAAGCATATTTTCCTTAGCTATTCTCAACAGCTCACTGCATTGTTGCAATAACTTACACCACAGAGTACTGACAAGTTGCCAGTGAGGGAGCTTTCTCAAAGGATACAGGGAAAAACCCGAAGGCAAATAGAACCTGCACATCTCTCACATGCCTCCTACCAGCTTGATCATGAGGAAAAATGATAGTGCCTGGGAACTTATAGTACAGATTTATTAGAATGTTCTTCATTACAACCCTGGTTCATTTATAATGCAAATAGGCTGTGGGCCCATTCAATGCACACGTGCTCAGCCGGTCAGTTCACTTCCTGTGCACAGTGTGAATCCTGTGCTAAAAATAGGCGATTCCCAAATCATCAGGTTGTCACCAATGTCACTTCTTTATCACACATCCAAAACACACAGCAAGTGGCTCATTAGTGATCCGATGACCCCTGGAAGTTGGCTTTTAATTAGTGCACAAACCAGTCAGCTTGCGAGACACGAGCCAGCCAGCTGCGACGTGAAAAGCACTATATCAAATGTAAGGATCATTATTATCTGCTATCATGGCTTCCTGATAAAATGTGTTGGGATTTCACTGCGATGTGATTATTCTCTCTTAATCAGGGAGCAGTGAGGGACATAAAGGAAGGGGTAGAACAACACAATTGGTGGGAGGGGACACAAAAACAAATGAATGGACAGTGCCTGTGGTAATCTAAAGAAAAGTAGTGTGATATCAGGGGTCAGCAGCCTATCTGATCCTTCTTTGTGCTACAATCCATTATACACACTGCACAGTGTAATACAATATGAAATTACATTTGTATGGCACCTTTCACGTTGGGAGGATGTCCCAAGATCCTGGACAGGGATTTGGACCTAAGCCGGGTGGGGGTGGGGGGGGGTTGTTAAAGGGAGAGAAGAGGACAGGGTAAAGGCATGGTTGAAGAGGAACGTCTTGAGACATCCCTTGAAGGAGGCAAGGGAAGGAGCAAGGCAGGGGGAATGTGGGATGAAGTTCCAAAGAGTGGGGGCAGAGAGGCTGAAGGCTCGACTGCCGATGGTGGGGATGGGGATGGGGAATCAGTGGAGCCAGACGAGGGTGGGGGTTATGGGGTCACGGAGCCTGGTGAGGGAGAGGACACGAGCTGCAGAGTTCTGGATGATTTGCAGCTTGTGGAGGGAAGAGCTGGGAGGCCGACAAGCAGGGAGTTGCCTAGTCGAGCCTAGATGTAATAAATGCGTGAATGAGGGGTTTTGGCGGCTTGAGGGATGGCGGAGCCGGGCGATGCTGAGGAGATGGGGGAAGGCAGAGCTGGTCATAGCACGGATGTTGGAGAGAAAGGACAGTCGAGGGTAATGATGTAATGGGAAGTGGGGGGGGAAATTCTGGAAGGATGAAATCAAAAGGGCTGAAACAACTTTTTCGTCCAAACCTTTCCTGTGATTTTTATTATGCAGTGAAACAGTTTTACTCTTACTCTATCTACTATTTTACAGATTTTTTTTTACGCAAATAAATCATTATGTTAATGATTACACCGCCATCAAATCCAATTTCTGCCGAATATTTCCTTTCAATAATACATTTGATGCGACGGTGGACGTGTGAAAACAGAATAAGCTCTCATTACTAAAACAGAATTGCTAAACTGGTTATATAGGCTACTGACACACGACCAGAAACTTAATATGCTGGAATATTACTGTTGGACTAATACTTGGCTTCTGTGTCATAGATAATTTGCACAATTTTAGGAAACCAACAGCACCATCTCTGCACTCACGCATTTTCCGCTTTGCAATCAATACTAGGAATGTGTTACTCACTACCAAGAATCAAATTTCTTGTGCAATGAACAGTACAAACTTTAAAGGGGCCCTGTTATCCTGCTGGGTTAGAATGAGGAGGCGAGCGACTCTGCCAAGTGATTAGACCAGCCTAAGCTGTTATTAATAGCAATGGCATTATCCAAGTCGGTAACAGAATAGCAGGCCTGCTGCAATCTCTTTAATAGCAGTCCCTTCAGTTAACTCAGTTAAACTGTATGCTTTTTAAATGGATACTTCTAAGCTTCTGCACATTTACTGTTGTACAATTGAAAGCCTTCTTTTATTTGCACAGAAAGACATTAAAGCTAACAACACAATTATTGAAAATACCAAAAAACAAATTACCTGTGTAATGCTGAGAATACACTACTGGGACATAATAATAAAGGGCCTTTGGGTAACACTGTTCCCTTTTCATTCACCCAATGCAGATATCCCCTGGTCATGTCAGCCATCCCAATGGCACGTGCTGAGCAATACAGGAATTTATAGCCATTTCTGCAAAGAAAAACATATATTTGTAGCACTCATTAATTGCATTCAGTCCTTTGCTTTCAACTGAAGAGTCCTTCACTTTGTTAAGAGTCAACATTAAGATTAAGAGCTTACCATGCTGTATGTAAGGTTTGGGAAATGTTCCCTCTTGGTAAGGTGATAAAGTGAAGCACGGTTTAAGTAGGTGACGACAAAATATGAAAAATGATCCTATGCTGTGACTGAGTCACCACAAAATATTTCCTATCTTTTATGGCACTCATTACTTTCATGTCCTTCTTATCCTATAAAATGGATTGAAACTGGGCTACAGCAGTTATTTTGCACACAGCGATGCCCCACACAGTCATGAACTAAGAACTGCCAAAGGAGTAATTTTGTGATCAGTCCATGCCAACTCAGAAATTAGTTACATTCACCAAATGTGTTAAGCAAAGGAGCCTTACAGCAGAGAGTTGAAGTAAATTGGACTGAATGGGTTGCTCTTTCAAAGCACCAGCACAGATACAATGGGCCAAATAGCCTTCCTCTGCGCTGTAAATTTATATTGTTCTGAGCTGTGAGAGGAGGTGACTCATGTGCTCCCTGATCTCTGCCAGTGACACTATTGATGCCCCAGGTCCAATTCTGACTTTGTCATTAACTGAAAGGCTGTGGGAGGCCAAACAGTTCTATCATTTGGGAGAAAGGGAGGTTTATTTTCTTTCCTATTCCATTATAGTTTAGGCTGGATCTGTCAACACAATCAAATTTCCTAGCAGTTTAGCCGGGTGTAAAGTGTGATATTTAGTTCTCCAGCAGTCCAGTAGGCTTTGTGACAGTGATACTCAAGTTTCCCAACATCTAGTGGATAATCTGAGCTTTCCTGGCATCTAGCAGGGTATAAGTCTATGATATTCAATACTCTGGCAAATAAGGGGTGATCTCCCAGGCTCCCAGAGATAGAAAATTATTTTAAACTTCCAAACCTTTGAATGCTCATACTTCAGGTAACAATAATAATATAAAAATCCTTACATTTAATATATCGCCTTTCCACATCAGGTAGATGTCTCAAAGACAGATATACTGTAAAGTGAACTGACTGAATTTCGAAGGGAAAACCACTACAAGCTGGCACATCTCCGTGGCATGAATGCATTCCAACTGATTTTAGTTTTAATAATCATGCTTAGTTTCGAATGTACAAGAGTCATAAGGGTGAAATGTAACCTTCAAAGGTTACATTTTATATTAACAATAATAATACTTGCATTTTATATAGCGCCTTATCGTGTCCTTGAGAAGTCTCAAACCGCTTCACAGAACATATTGTAAAGTGGATTGACTGTGTATATATTTTCAGTCTACTATATTGTTTATCATATGGGAGAAATGGTTTATTTCCCTGAGGAGCTACTTTTAGAATTTGTTACTAATTTTATAAAAATAGATGTTTATGAACATGATCTATGAGCTCACCAGACCCATGTTTGATGCAGTCCTAACATCATGGGGTGTTCTTTTCACCATCATTTATCTTCGGTGTCAGAGTAAAGAAGCAAAGCTTCGTATTACCGACTTGAACCTTTCCCTTTATTTACAAGGTTATAACAAGAAAGAACAACATCTGGGCCATAAATTAAGGATTAAATAATCTTTTTTATTAGTGACATCCCCCACATTCCTTTATCTCTGACCCTCTACTTTCCCGTTAACATGTAATAAATACAGGGAGAAACCAATACATTGAGTGTCCAAATTCAATATAATATTCTGTTCTCCCTCACCAATATCCTTCAACCAGATCAATTTATTTCATCAAGTATTGTGCAGATAATAATGATCCTCGCATTTGATATGGTGCCTCTAATGACAAAATGTCTCAAAGTGTTTCATAGGGAATCGCTGTGAAGTGTAATTGTATTTGTAATTAATGCAACAATGGCAGCTAAGAAGCTCTGTGGTATCGTCACCATTGAGTATCTGCTGCCAAAAGCACCCACAACCTAAACAGCATTTTCTCCAGGTAATTCCCTGTACGGCAGATACAGTCACCAGACCTGAGCTCAGAGAGGAACCATTCACTGCTAAATTCTTTAACTGAGGAACCAGTGAACAATGCATTGGTTAAGAATTCAAACTGCTGGTTGTATTAGTTCAAGTTGCTCAGATGCATCAAAAACGATTTAAGCTGCTCACTGTGGGGTCTAATAAACCAAAACCAAACATGTGCTGCAATTCGAACGACGAGTTTAACAAAATGGTCTCTGATATTTTGCCGCAGAATACTTACTGGCTGACTTTGTGGTACAGCTTTGCGATTCCCTGATGTGTCCAGTCCTTGCCAAGCGTGGGCAAAATGTGACCCAGGGCATCGGATCTGCACAAATACAAAACACTCAGATACCTAAAGCCACTAGGAGTAAGTATTGTGTATTTGAAAAATAAGCGTATTCTATTCTAAATTAAGCCATGCCATCATGACAAGTTAGACTAAGCAAGAAAGTCCACTTCAAACCTACCTTGTAATTGTACCATCAATATCAGAAATAACGATTCTGTCATTCCAGTTCCAGAGATAGATGGTACCTTCACAGCGACATGTACCCTGGTACTGGGTTGTAACACTAAACACCACATCGTTTGGGCCATCTTTCAGCTGAAGGCTTTTCTGTGAATTAGAAGTTACACTTCCATTAACCAACAGGTGGTCAGCCCTATGTGGCTGTGATGTGATCCATTAAAGCAGCTGGTATAGTTTGTAAGCTCATTAGATACATTTCTCCTGTTCAGCTGGAGGCAAAACCTCACTGGCAGGCACAAGAGGAGGTTTGTTTCTGCACTGCTCAAGTGCTGCTCCCTCCAGGTGAGTTTATACATCTTATTTGAACCCAGAAACCCAGAACAGCAAGACATGACTAAAGCCAACACGTGTAGGAGAGAGAGCAGGATGAAATAAGTAGTCAATAGGTGACACCAAACTTTGGATTTACAACCCTTTAGATTGTAAGAGGAAGGGAAGTTGAGAGAAATAATGAATTCAGCAGTTTGGGTGTTTCCAGAAATCAGCAAATGGAGTCTAAAGTTACATAGAATTACACAGCATAGAAACAGGCCATTCGATCCAAAGAGTCTATCTGTGTTGGTGTTTAAATTCCATATAAGCCTCCACTCTACTGATCTCCCCCCTATTCTCCCAACCCCAAGATCTTCTATTCCTTTTAGTTTCATGAATGTGATGATTAAATGGGATTCCTTAAAATTTGCCTCAGCCTAATTTTGGAGCTACATTTTAATGGGGAAAAAAACTAAATTTGTTTAAATATGCTGATCACAAAACCAAACGTTTATAGATCACACCATAGTCCAAGTTCTCACTCAACAAGATCAAATCCATGATCCAGGGTAACGTAGCGTAACAGAGAGAACTGGGTGAGAAAGGGTTTTTATGGAGAGTGGGGGTTGTGGAATTATGCCTAACTAAAGAAAGTCACTCAGCCCCCCATGCTCTCTCTCTCTCTCTGGGGCTGCAGGAAGCAGGTCTTGTCCAAAGAATGAGGCCTAGGCCACATGGCTGGCCTGAATGTTTGGAAGAGTACAGAGTGCGTTGGAGGCATTGTGAGGGCAAGAGCTCTTAAGAGGGTTTGCAGGACACGGTTTGCTTGGCTCCCCGGGTCCTGGTTACAATAAATATGTTGGCAAGTCTCTTACCCTGGTTCTACGTCTAGCTATAACATTCCCAAAATGCAAGATAAGGGAGGAACCTAGTTATGTAGTAACAAATTTGAGACACAATTAGACTATCACGTCTAACCATCCAATTCCCCACAAAATTTCTTCCATTGATCCATCTCTCAATCTACCAACCCTGAAACCATTTAGTGAATCAGACTAAACGTCAGCCATCTAAATCTGGATTCTTTGAGCTGAAGCAACAAAACCCAACACGTACTAACCGGTTGAACGCAATCCTTTAGCTAAACACATTAGGCAGCAAGCATATGAACGCTAATAAAACACGTCATACTTGGCTTCTGGCAAAGGCGATAATGTGTGCTCCTGTTCATGTGAATCTTTATTACAGATCACACCATACTCTCAAAAAAAATCTGTGCAATAAAATGCTTTGTCCTGAAGTACATACCAGTTCTTCAGAGGTTAGTCTCAGTGTTTTTTTGTAGGAGATGTAGGAGGCAGGTGACAGCAAGGTGAGATCTTGCTGGCTGGAGCTGCAGTGCTGTTTGGCTGACCTCAGCTCATCATCACTGGATGATGATTCATCTTTCAACCTAAAAGAAGTCAAGAAGTTCAAGGTACAAATGCATCACCGAGGCCAACAACTTTTCTTTGCTGAATGTATTATGTTTTTAAGGAGTGAAATTCCTTTTGTAACGGCAGCCACGGGGGGTGGGTGGGGGAGGGAAAAGAGTGGTCTAATCTGGCAGTGGTCCTCAAACCCAGCGGGTGGCCCCATTTTCAGATGCGTGCTATATTCTCGGAGTCTGCGAGTTGCTGCAGAGTTGGCGTTGACATGTAGGTCAGTCACCTGACTGAGCAGCTGCTGACGGAGACGTGTCAATTTCACATCTAGTTGTTATTTGGATTATTTTAATTGCCCAGTAATTGGTAGGAAATGCTGCCTGATACCAATTCCATGTGCCTAGGATTATTTGAGAATGCAGCACAGAGGGCGGACGGGTGCCAAAAGCACAGGGAAAGTGCCTGGGTTGACAGCAATGGCTCCGTACAACCGTCGGAAGGTTTGGAATCGATCGGCAGTCAAATTCAAACTGTTAACAACAACATACATTTATAGAGCAACTTTCACATCAGGAAGACGTCTCAAAACGCTTCACACAGCTGACTTGGAGCCCCAGTTGGCAAAGGGGGAACTGAGGAAGGAGTGGGGGAAGGTGATCAAAAGTAAGGTTAAGTAGAAAAGATGGGCTTTAAAGGGAGGGGATGAGGTAGACGGATCCCAGGATGGAGTTTCAGACAGAGAAGCAGAATGGTTGAAAGCCCGATGGTGGGGCTGTTTGTGAAATGGCCTTATTTTAAATCCTTCATTGCTAAATTAATGCTTGTTGATGAGTTCCTTTACAGCCTCCTTCAAACATAACACTAATTTAGTCAGGAAACTGATGACAAGTGGCCACTTCACTTCATGGCTGTTTGTTGTACAGTTGCTATGCACAAATTGGCTGCTGTGTTCACCTACAAAATAGTCACTACAGTTTTCAGTGTATTCCTGTCAAACACCATGAGGCATCCTCTCAATGTGAACGTCCAGTGCCTTGGAACATCCTCCTGACGTGAAATGTAATTTTGTTGTTATTGTTGACCGGCACTAAATGTAAGGATTTGCTTTTATTTTAAACCTATTGCAGTATTAAGGACAGTTTCAAGTCAATAAAGTATATATAGTGATATTTATGGAAAAATTGAGCTTGGGAATATCACAATTGTTGCCCTGTGATTCCATGAGATGCCTATAATGACTTTTTAACACCAAACTAAAACTCTAACATAACTCTAACATAACCTGTGTTTTTTCTTTGCATTATAATAATCCTAATCCTTACATTTGATAAAGCACTTTTCAAGCACTTTAAATTTATAACGTAAAGTGTAGTGACTCTGTATTTTCTTGATGAACATAGCAGCCAATATGCACACAGCAATATTCCACAAACCGCTAAAAAGCGTTATTCACCCACAAAATACAGTCAATTCACTTTATAGTATATTCTGTGAAGGGCTTGGAGGCGCCTCAAAGATGTAATCAGGTGCTATATCAAGTGCAAGGATTATTATTATTATTCAGCGAATAATAAACATAAATCTAAAGTTTGAAATATCAGTGTTACTGCAATTTAAAACACTCCTGATAAAGATAAGCAGAAAATCAATTTTGCAGGTAAATCATTATATTAAAAAAAAGCATGGTGTATAATCTAGTAAGGATTTTGTGTTTCCAACGATTAAAGTGAAACATGTAAATCCATGTTTTGGTCTCAATTAAGAAAAGGCATTGCTGCCAGTTCCTCAACAGTCCCTCATGAATGAAATTAAACACTTCAGTTAAGAATGAGAATCAATAAAAGCTGCATTTAGGCATTTTAGCAGCATAGTAATACATTGGTCATTTTTGGTTGTTTGTGGGATACTGCTCTGTGCAGAATGGCTGCTCTATTGGCCTACAAATAACTTAATAGTAATTACTGTACTGTGCTTTACTATCTTTCAACATTACAGGAGCTGTAGCAAATGGGAGCATTATTTGTTTAATGTCTATTTCTGGGACTCCGTTATGTGCAAAATGACTGCCTTGATTGCCTGCAGAAATTTGCACTTGATTAATCGCTGCAAAGAATTTTGAGACCTTTGGATGTGAAATCAATGAAAGGCACTTTTATAGATGCTCTTGGTTTGTTTTTGGCGCCTGACATGAAAAGCCTGATACCCAATGCAAAGTTGTATTTATTTGAAGTACCTGTCGCCAGGAGGAGCAGACAGATCATCTGACACATGTCCACTTCGTATCTGGTCATGTTTTGGTTCCTGTAAGGTACAATCCAACACAAGCCATTCAGATTTAGATTCTTCCTGTCAAAACATCATAAGAGCGTTGAAATCGCTGCTTTAGGAACACGTTCATTAAAGTAACAAGGAGAAGATAACGGTTACAAAGTTCCATTCAAAGTATTCAAGCATTTCTGTTCAATCTACAAATGCTGTCGCTCTTCAAAAAAGCTATTTTCTCCACAAAATTTTTGCACTTAATCGTTGTCCCACAATGTTACTGAAGAGAAACAGTCAGGAAAGAAATTCCACCATTTTGAAAAATCAGACGGATGTTTTTGAAGTTTATTTCTTCACAGAATTGCTCAGTACTGTTGTATTCTTTGTAAATATATATATTAAAGCAGGCATAACCAGGACACCAAAGGGTGCTGGAGTATTAAGTATAAAAGACTCCTCTAAACGGGGAGGTAATGATTGGATGTGAGATGCAGACTGAGGGAAGTGTGTTCCACTTTCTCTAACTTAAAACAACACCTGCCTCTGACTCCACATTGTTACAAGTACAAGTTCAGATGCCCTCTGGCCGTGTAGCTAAAAAAAAGACAGTTCATCTCATCCCACTTAATGCAGATTGCATTTACCTCCTGGTATATAGACAATGTTCCAAACCTAAAAATCGACCTTGCCTCCCTTGTCCAACACCATCACTGTGAAGCTCTGACACATTATCCTGCTTGAAGGGCTCTATAAAAATGCAAGTTATTGCTGTTCCAGATTCACTTGGGTGTCACTTATTCAAAAAGACAAGACATTTTTACTCCCAGTGACTTGGCTACCAATTCTCCTGTTAATCATTCACCTCCTGGCTATTTTTATTATTTTGTTGTGTGCAGAATGACTGCCATGTTTGCCTACACTCACCACACTTGACTGTAAATATTGTAATGTATTTGAGACCACAATTTTTTTTAATTTAACATGCATTAAATAAGCTTTTAGTCAACTAGTGAGCAGTAAAAGTGGTGCATTTCAGCATGCCATGCACTTTTCATGAATACCAAATGAAAATATACATTTTAAATTCACTACTGGCATAGAATTTTTCTCATTTGGTCTTAAGTTCCTTTCAAGACTGAGGTGGATGGATGTTTGTTAGGTAAGGGTATCAAGGATACAAGGCAACGGCGGGTAATTGGAGTTGAGGTATAGGTCAGCCATGATTTAATTGAATGGCGGAACAGGTTCACGGGGCTGAATGGCCTACTTCTGTTCCCAACAAGACTGAGGTCCAATGTCAGTGTCAGCCTGGCTCAGTTGGGAGCACTCTCGTTTCTGAGTCAAAATCAATCCACTTGACTGTGTATATTCTGCGAAGCGCTTTGAGACATCTCAACAACATGATAACATACTATATCAAATGTAAGGATTACTATTATTTCAAGACCCACGTCAGGACTTTGAACATGCAGTCTAGGCTTTCACTCTAACATAGTGCTGGGGAAGAGGTACCTTCCTTTGGATTAATTGTTGAATTGAGTTCCTGTCTGCCTGTTCAAGTAGACATTAAAGCTCCCATTGCACTATTCAAAGGGAATGCCTCCCACTGTCCTGGCCAATAATCCCCAAAGTAAAATCCATCACTCAACAACAACAAAATTACATTTGTATAGCGTCTTTCACGTTGGGAGGATGTCCCAAGGCGCTGAATTCAATTGACTGCTGCATTCTCCTACAAAATGTGCAGTCACTACCATTTTAATAAGTCCTGTGAAGCATTTTAAGATATCCTGCTGACCTGAAAGATGCTACATCGATTGTCAAATGGAAGGATTATTATTATTATCATCACGACTGCGGGAACCTTCTGTGCTTGGATCTTAAAATAGTGGTGCACTTGCTCCCCCTGGTGATCATTGTTCAGAAAGCAATTCACCACATGACTCGGGAGAAAAAGGTGCATTTGCATTTGAAAAAGGACAAAAGAATGATCACAAGTACAAATGAGTTGAGCTCTGAAGAAAATCCAGCCAATGTTAAGCTTAACAATCTGTGAAGGTTTTACAACCTATAAAGAATGCAGTTAAACAAGGACCCCAATCAAAGCATCTAATAAAAATTCAGACAATTACTTCAGATTAATAAATAATGACTGTTGCACTTTATATAGTGTCCATAATGTTGAGAACATCGTAAAGAACTTCATATATAATTGCTATAAAGTGCAATGACTTTGTACACAGTTATGTTCCACAAACAGCCATAAAGTGAGTGATCAATTTCATTTGGGGGATTGCTGGCCAGGACACTGAGAGAATTTCTCTTTTCAAGTAGTAACATGGGGTCTTGACAAAATCATTCAGCCCAATCAGTACCTCCCAATGTTATTCTGCACATGAGCCCCTATTCTCCCATTCCTCTTAACTTTACCCTTCTATTTCCTTCTCCCTCAAGTACACATCAAATTTCTTCTTAAATGTATTGATACTTTTTGCTTCAACCACTTTCTGGAGATCTGTAGCTCAGTGATTAGAGCACTTGCCTCACAAGTGAGAGATCTGGCTTTGATTCCTGGCAGAGCAAAATGTTGGGCAAGTTTCCTTATTCCACACGTCTCTGTTTACCTTGGAGTAAGTAGGAACCCGATTGTTAGTCGATTGGCAGATCGCTTTTCCGGGAGTAATAACTCCATCAAAAAATAATAGTCATAATAAATTGGTCACTTCAATACACGACTGTTTGTGGGACACTGCTGTGCGCAATTGACTGTCACATTTTGTCCACAAATTATATAGTTAATTCACTTCACAATATATTCTGTGAAGTGCTTTGAGACGTCTCGTAGATGCGATAACAACAAGATTCCATTTATAGAGCGCCTTTCATGTTGGGAGGACGTCCCAAGGCGCTGGACAGTTGGATTGGGACCCGAGCAGGGGGGAAATGGTCAGGGTGAGGGGAATGGAGGGAGCGAGGAGGGGGTAGAGAGTCGAGAGGGGAGCTGAAGGCACGGCTGAAGAGAAAGGTCTTGAGACCAGCCTTGAAGGAGGAAAGGGAAGAAGCAAGGCGAAGGCACTGGGGGATGGAGTTCCAGAGCCTAGGGGCTGAGAGGCTGAAGGCCCGGCCACCGATGGTAGGGCGGGGGATGTGGAGCAGACCGGAGCCAGAGGAACGAAGGGTACGAGCAGGTACGTGGGGGGATAGTAGGTCAGAGAGGTAGGAGGGTGCAAGGCCTTGAATGGCCTTGAAGGTGAGGATGAGGATCTTGAATTCGATCCTCTGGGGGATAAGGCATTATGTCAAATGCAAGGATTATTATTATCATCACCATCCTCCTAAACTTCCTATTCAATAAACTGCTGGTTGCCACATGCATGCTCTCATAAACAAGTGGAAACAGCCTAACAATTTTTCAAATCTTTTCATAATCTTAAATATCTCTATAAGGTCCCATGTCAATCATCTCACCTCTAGAGGGAAAAGCCAAACTCCCCAATCTTTCCTGATATCTGCATCCACTCATCCCTGGTAACATGCTTTTAAATCTACGTGATCCTCCTGTACAATAGTGACCAGAATTGCAAACACTACTTTGGAAACATTTCTGCAAACCTTCAAGTGTTAGTTGTACCAACAATAGGGACAGCAAATGGAGGCTCTTTAGAATGCTGTTTAGTTGTATATATCTATAATCCTTGCATTTAATATAGCACCTTATTGTGTTCTGGAAACGTCTCAAAGTGCTTTACAGAATTTTTAGTATCAGCACAGGTAATTTACAAATACACAGTCTATTGTGAACAGCAGCGAATTTGCACACAGCACTGTCCCAAAACAGCCACAAAGTGAATGACGCTGGTCACTGGGAAAAACTCCCTTTTCTTCGAATCACTGCAGGATTCTCTGGAAGCCATGGCAACAGGGTTGTGTGCTTTGATAGCTCTTCGTTCAATCGGCACCTAATTAGTTATATGAAAAAGCACATCAAAATCAGATGCAATGTTGTGCTTAAAAGATTCCCTTTTTCTCCTCTGATCTGATGAAAGACTTCTCTGATGTGAGATAAAATCATAACTGGAGCTGAGTAGCTCCTATTGCTCCAGCCATTACCATTTATGCAGGGAACACTACATACCACTTTCACGCTGCTGTTTCGTCCCCGCCATGAAAACCACCACCTGCCGCCTTTCTTGGGCATCTTTTCCTTCAATAGATTTTCCACTGTCGCCTGTTATAGACGCACAAAAATAACTGATAGAACAAAAAACAAACCTAGCGTTTTGCAAAAACAATGTAAAATGTAAGAAGCAATGAGGAAACATACTACGGGCATAGAACCAATGTTTGCAAAGCAGAGCACTGCAGCATCGAGCAATGAACAAAGATAACTTAGGCATGAGTACTTAAAATTATATTTCAAACAGAAATTTAAAAACCATCGCAAGAGGAAGAAAAGTGAACAGATTAGTTTAGAGATGTAGAATATACAGCTTTCTTTATTGGCTTCATTTTTGGACAAGTAACAACTTGAACATTTCTGATGAGGAAGAACTAGTCAAATGCAATTAGTCTGCTTTAGAATCTGCATTCCGGTATAGTGTGCGCGGGTGTAACGTAGACCCTCGTTACACAGGAGCTGTGAGACACTGCTGGCTTCCAGTGGTAGCTGGCTAGCTTCCTGCGCATAGTGCTTATGTGCAGCACACAGGCAGTGATGATACGGGGTCTGAAATTATATACAATGTACAGCACAGAAACCGGGTTCATGCTGCCCAATTAGCTTGTGCCAGTGTTTATACTCTACATGAGTCTCCACCCCTCCTAATCCATTCTCCCTTCTACAAGACAGTTTTCACATGGGTTGTTGGAATGTGGATTCACATGCTAATTTCTACCTTGTTTGACTTTCATGGTCATTTCGCTAAATAATTTACAATTTATAGGTTAACTCACCTTTGGCAATGGTTTTTGGAAAGCCTGCGCAGCCAGAAGCATAGGGGCAGCTGTAGACCAGTTATAGTACCTGTTTTTTGACAATAGATATAGATTAAATTAATGACATAAAATACAAGTCTATTGGTCAGTTCTCAAGCTGAATTTATCATTTTCGTATAGAGTAAAACTCACATAAGTCTGATCTGTGTAAATCATTTAATCGCCTAAGTCGTACATTTGCCCAAGTTCCCTTGAATTTTTTTGGTCAACCGGGTGTCTAGCACATGCAGAAACCCATCACCATGTTTCAGAGTATCCAAATCTACACATCTCAGAGAAAGATTCTTGGAATGGAATGGCACTGGAGGGATGCATCCTCCCTACACAATTCCAGAAAGTATTAGATGCAAGTGTATTTGCTGCACGAGAGGCTTTAAAGACAACGATTGCAAGAAGTGAAACAGAAGGAGCTGCAAATAAGTATCAAGGGACCCCTCATTATAGTCCTAGCAGTTATTAAAACTCAAATTATGGCTTAGATAATAGAATCATAGAATTATAAGCACTGAAGGAGGCCATTCAGCCCATCGAGTCTGTTCCGGCTCTCCGTCCACCTTCCCACACCTCGCCCATCCTCTCCTCAAACTCCAACTGTGAGGAGATGCTGGACTTGCTCATATCTAAAATCGAGGGGATACGTTCAGCCACCTCAGCCCTGTTCACAGCCACCCCCAGATCACCTCTCCCTCATGACCCACCCATCCCACACTATACTCCTTCGACCCTATCTCTCCCTCCTTCCTCACCTATCCGCAAACTCAAACCCACCACCTGCTCCCTCGATCCCATTCCCACCTCTCTCCTCATCTCCCAGCTCCACCTTCTGGCCCCCCTCCTGTCCGATGTCATCAACCTCCCCGTCCAGCGGTTCAGTTCCCACCCCCTTAAAAACAGCCACCATCACCCCCATCCTGAAAAAACCTTCCCTGGATCCATCCCTCCTCTCCAGCTACCACCCCATCTCTAACCTTCCATTCCTCTCCAAGGTCCTGGAACGAGTCATCGCGTCCCAGCTCCGCTCCTTTCTCTCTCGCCATTCCCTCTTTGAACCCCTCCAATCCGGCTTCCGCGCCACCCACAGCACGGAAACAGCCCTGGTCAAAGTCACTAATGACATTCTGAACATCTGTGACCAGGGCTCCCTCTGCCTCCTTGACCTCTCTGCCACCTTCGACACTGTCAACGACTCCATCCTCATACACCGCGTCTCCGCTTTACTCAATCTTCATGGATCTGCCATTGCCTGGTTCGATTCCTATCTCTCTCACAGTCTCCACTTCATTGCCTCTAACGGTTTCTCCTCCAGCTTCCGCACTGTCACATCTGGCGTCCCCCAGGGCTCTGTCCTTGGCCCTCTCCTCTTTAATATCTACATGCTCCCCCTTGGTGACATCGTCCAGACATGGGGTCAACTTCCACATGTATGCGGCTGACATCCAACTCTATCTTTCTGCCTCCACCTCAACTCCAGGACCACTGCTGTCCTGCCAGACTGCCTGTCGGACATCAAGTCCTGGATGAGGGCAAACTTCCTACAGTTGAATGTGAACAAGACTGAGGCCCTCCTGATTGGCTCGAGCCAGCGCCTCAGGCTTTGGCAGCATCAACCTCCATGGTTGCACACTTCAACTCACCAAGCCAGTCAGGAACCTCAGTGTCCTGTTCGACCCTCAACTGTCTTTTCTCCCCCACATTCAAGCCATGACCTGACTCTGCCTTCCCTCACCTCCGTAACATTGCCCGACTCCACCACTACCTCACCCCTCGGGCCTCTGAAACTCTTGTTCATGCCTTCATCACCTTCCAGGCTCGACTATGCAAACACCCTGCTTGTCGGCCTTCCCAACTCCTCCCTCCACAGTCTGCAGATAATCCAGAATTCTGCAGACTGTGTCCTCTCCCGCACCAAACTCAAATTCACCCAATGTGAATGTAGTTAAACATTATCATCAATGCAACTCAAGGGACACGAGAACATAACAACTGTGCTCTGTAACTCGGGATTCAGGAAAGAAAGGCAAAGGGAGTAACAATAAGCAGATAAATAGTGAAGAGAGGTAGACAAGCAAGAAGACAAGAGAGGCGTTAAGAAATTAATAAGTGGCAGATAACAGGAATAAGGAAGAAAGGCAGCAAAGACACTAGGAAAAAGAAGCAGAGGTATAGAGTAGGGAGAAACGGCAATCAAAGTGCGTAGGTGCGACAAAAAGAGTGGGGCAGAGAGAGGGAACAAGGGAGAAGAAATACACATAGTTCCAGGAATTTAGTTTTTCAAAAATTGAACTGAGAAACATCGCCTCTTATTGGAAGCATGGGAAACAAATATTGGGAATTTCCATTACCTTTCTGGTTTTAATTTGCTGATCCTGGTCATTTTTTAAGGAAAGAATATCAAAGTAAAAGTGTTGGCTTGATAATGATTATTTGAAACTTCTATACAAAAAGGACTGGTTCCTAATAAATGGTTACCTGGAATTCTTCACTTAGAAGTCTAATCTATACAATTTATAGCGCTTTTCATGGTGGGAGGATGTCTTAAAGCACTTAAAGAGGCAGATCTGGAGATAGACCCTTAATGAGGTATGGGAGGGAACCAGTTACAGGGACTCCACATGGAGTTCCAGAGAGTAGAGGCAGAGTGGCCCGCTCACCAATGGTAGAGTGGATAGAGCGGGGGACATGAAACAAGTCGGTGCTTGCTGAGCAAAGGGGAAGTTTGATACTGATAAAATACAAGGTACTGCATATAAATACAGCCAAGAGGTTCTCCTGCTTGGCATTTTTCAGATCAGGGATCTTGAATTTTATCTGCTGGAGGATAGGGAGCTGATGGAGATGAGCGAGGATGGAGATCATAGGCTTGCAAAGCCAAGAGTGGGAGAGATCTGGATAGTCTATAGCTTGTGTAGGGAAGAGCTGGGGAGTCTGACGAGCCGGGTGTGAGTGTAGTCAAGCCTTGACGTGATGAGGGTCTTGTCAAACAAGACACTGAGTTCTCAACTGGCTCAATGAGGTGAAATATGTAACCATGCAGAATGATGTCCCAGCGCCTGAGGTGAAGGATGCTGACAGGAGAGAGCCTTGGTCTTGTCTATATGCATTTGCATTTATCGGCATCAGACTTCACTTGCTAGTTATCAGCCCATGTGCATACCCTATCAAGCTCTCTTTTTAAGACTTTTGCTGCTTCCTATGATTTGTCATTCCCCCCAATGTGGGGTCATCTGGAAATTTAACTATCTTACATTGACAATCCAGATCCTTAATATACACAGGAAATAGGAGGGGTTCCAGTACAGACCTCTGAGACACCCCACTTATTACCTCCCTCATTTTGACCCGGCTTCCCTAACAAAGACTCTCTGCTTCCTTCCCTTCAACCAATTCTGAATCCACATCCATATCTTGCCCTTGATACCAGTTACCACTGTTTGTGAAAGAGTGTTTCATGTGGTACTTTGCCAAATGCCTTTAGGAAGTTCAGAGATACTATCTCAATATGGTTTCCCTCAGTCATTTTGGGTGTCACCTCGTGAAAAAGTCTATGAGATTGGTCAGACAAGATCTACCCTTTCGGAACCCATATTAGCTGTAATTTATTAGATTCTTTCTATACAGCTAATCTTCCATGATAAAAACTATAATCCAATCAATTTACCAAACATTTTCATTTGGTTTTTCTAACCCTTTCTATTTCAGGCACTTACTTGGTTCCAATCTTCACAACCAGATTGGGATCTTCAAGAATTCCTGGATTCTCTGAAAATTGTTGGTATGTAACACTGCGCTCCACAAATTGTTCTGTAAAGACAGTTAGTGTTTGCATCTTCATATGTGTATAATATAACTATTATTATATATTATGTATATGCTTCCTTATATAACTAAATAGTAATATAATAATATATTCATTATAATACAATTACATTTTTGGAGATGCCAAAACATACTTCAATAAGAATAGCTTTAAAAAACAGTAATAAAGTAACCAAATGTCTTGATCTAGAAAACAGCCTGTTTTATTCATTTAAATAAACGATGAACCTTATTATGTTTTTGAGATGTCTCAAAGTACTTTGCAAAATTTATTGGGAAGTGTAGCATATTTTGTAGTCAGTAGTTTACGCACAGCAATATCTCATAAGTGAATATTATCTTGGGAATTGTAGATAGTTATACATCATTAATTATAATCATTACATAAATTCTGTCTAAAACCCATTTTTCTAAAAAAACGTTTGTATTTTTTTCCCCACAAGAGAGATTTGATAAATCTTTCTATTAATCAGCACTCCGAGATACATTCCTTTAGGAAAGTCGTTGCAAGTTGTTTATCAACGTGAGGAATACCAGTACGCAGAAATGGGACATTTTCTATGTTTTTGTGAGCTCTTTGTCAAAATTAAGCACTGTTAGGTCTCAGGTGAAATACAATACAAATTTACATTTACATAGGGCTATTGCGTTGAGAGGATGTCCCAAATTGCTTGACGCTGCTGGCTGAGCACCTGAACGGGGGATGGAAGTCAAGGGGGGTGGCAAACGGATCTTGAGATGGACTTTGAAAGAGGGAGGGTGGGAGCAAGTCTGAGGGACTCCAGAGAGAGGGGGCAGAATAGCTCAAAGCCAGCTGAGCAATGGTGGGGCAGATAGGGCAGAAGATACGAAGCAGGCCAGTGGCCGCAGAATGAAAGGGGCAGCCGGTCAGTAGAGTTGAAGGTTACAGAGGTAGGGTGGGAAGAGCAGGTAATGTAACATCACCCTTTCTCCCATCCTTGGAAGACAACCCACTGCAACATTTCCACTTACACCTGCCATTGCTGTGGCCACTGAATGAAATTGCTAATGTATGGCCAATTAGTTTTGGACTTTGGATTGTTTTGTATTCTGCAGCTGGTTGAGAAAGTTAAGACACATGGTGTCAGACTTGCTCAGTTGGTAGCCTTAATAAATAATAACCCTTGCATTTGTTATAGCTCCTTATTGCACCGTTGAGATGTCTCAAAGTGCTTCACACAATATACTGTAAAGTGAATTGATTGTATATTTTGCAGGCTGTCTTTGAGTCACAAGGTTGTGGGCTCAAGCCTGTGGGAAACATTACAGAGTAGCTTTTATGGAACATCTACCTTTTGTTATTTCCTTGTTGTCATTAAGACCTCCGCAGAGGGAAATGGCAATGGTTGGCAAATCCCCAATGGTGTCTGAGAAGCTGTCAACTCCACTGTCCATTCCAGAGCTGCCGACGGACTGCGGAGACTGACTTTCTGAGCGGGTTCCGTTTTCTGACCTGTTCGCTGGGTTGTTCTCACTGTAGAAGACAATAATCACAAGGCTATAAAATATTCTCTCCTTAGTACCTTGAACACTTGCTCATCTGCATGAAACCTTTTGAGTTCCAAATAAATCATCTTCACCAAAAATCTACCACCTCCTGGAAATTACCATTTTGGAAAGTAAAGTGCAGCAACCTCCGGATCCAGCTCAGTAATGTCATCCAAGTAAACCCCATCAGCACCCAGATGATGGCTGCGTTTATCTGAGAACAGAAAATAAGGATTCATTTTTACAGGTTTTACTGTGGGGAATTAAAAGAACACAAATCCTGTCAATTCTGAAAAGCGAGTTTAAAGAAAGATGTGAGCTGATCACAGGGTCTAGCTTTCGAAAATCCTTCTAGTTGTGTTGAAAAACGTCAGCTAAACTCTTACCAGGTTTCCATTTCATATTTTAATAGGTGCCGCACCATTTGATCAGCTTGTAACGCTTTGTGGGAAGCTGTGAAGGAGCCTTCAATACAGCGGATCTCAACAGTCTACGTTTCAAATTTATGCAAAGCTGCTGACGCCTATACCTTGTATCTATCTGGTTGAACTCGGTAAGATGTCATTCTAAGGGGCTTCCAGGGTTGAACCAATGTCCAAACTCTGAAGAAAAGCAAAACTAAAATAGCCACATAGGGATTCAGTATAAAGGGATGCACTCCAAATAACTCCAGTTTTACAATGTTCCTGAAATCTAAGCCAAGAGAGTCAGCTACATTTCTAATCCCTAAGCATCAGTGCTCAGTTTGTAGGAATTATTTTATAGAAGTTCAGGCCCAATGTAACCTGGTTAGACTGTAAAATATGTTTTATGTGTCCTTTGATGAGATACAGCATGTTTTTTCCCCAGAAAAATACATAGTCACATCACTTTGCAGTATATCCTGCGAAATGCTTGAGATGTCTTGACACCATAATGAGGCATTGTATCAAATGAAAGTATTATTATTATATATTATAAAGGCTAATGAGTTACCACAGATAGAATCCGGCTATTTCAGATTCGGTGTTATCAGACATGGCACCATTTCCATTTCAGAAGCTCTTACCTTTCTTTTTGGATGGGGAATCGGTTTTACCAATTGGCTTGATGTGATCACCAGGATGGCTTTGTTCCCCATTTTCTGGCATCATCTGGCACCCTGTTGCCAAGGCTTCAAAAGGTTCTTCTGCACCGTGTGTAAAACTATCTGTAGGCAGAGTCTCTCCTGCTGCTAAAGGCTCTGGTTTTACCAGCATCAGGGGGGCTGAGGAACTGCTTACAATGGGGGCGCTGTCGATGACCCTGAAATGGGTATTCCCTGATGGGATGATGTTCACTCTTGGAGGTTCTTCCACTTTCTGATGAGTAATAGGCTGAAAGTAAACACCAGAATACAGTAAACCTCACATAAGTCATATCAGTTGGGACATACACACATTTAATATGAATTATGTCAACTGAAACTTGGGCAGATGTACAATTTAGGCGATTATACAATTTATACAGTTCAGACATATGGGAGTTTTATTGTATTTCATATTCATACCCATGTATTTGTACTAATGCTGCATTATCACTGCTCCAAGCTGGGTTGATGCAACAAATGTGAAGTCCACTTCAACTTAAACCTAAACTGCACAATGACAGAGGCTATGGCAGAGAGCACATTACATTGCAAGATTGAACGTTGTGACATTGTGCGATGTGAAGCTAACAATACTGACAATGGACAAGTCAGAACTTTCAGATGATGGATAATTTGAGAGTTGACAGCAGTTTCTCTAACTTTAAAAGTACAGGTGTAAGGTGAATAGGCCTGTAATTTGAAGGTTAAGATTAGGAGGTTTGGTCTTTCTTAGGGCAAACACAAGCAAACTGCAAGGGAGCAGAAAAGATGGACTGGGAGTAGGAGAGGCCAAAAAGACAGGAAAGGACAGGACACATCACTATCAGATACTTTCCAGACCAATGCTTTTATCTGAGTCCAGAAACAAAGGAACTATTCAGAACCCTCTAGACTGTTCTGCCATTCTATTAGATCATTGCTGTTCTGTTCCTCAACTGCAATTAAAATTAAATTATAATTAAAGTGGAGGCTCCAATAGAAATGAAGGGACAAATCTTGATATTAATTCTATGATTATCATTTCACAATGGGATCAGTTTAGCAATACCTTCAATATATTTAACGTTGTTTCACAAATTGTGGCATTCATTTTCCAGTTACAGCCTAGCACCCTAACTCTGACTAGCATTTACTGAGAATTTAATATAGTTAAAATTCCACATCTGAGTTTACGAACACATTCCTGACCTACACCAGGTAACTGACCCTATAAAATCAGTCTTCTGGTGTTCTTTAATTAGCTGATCAGGAGGAGCAGCTGCAAGGGAATCCGAGGCTGAGAACAGTGCGGTGAATCAAGGTAAGTGCTTAACAACAACAACAAGATTCCATTTATAGAGCGCCTTTCACGTCGGGAGGACGTCCCAAGGCGCTGGACAGTTGGGTCAGGACCCGAGCAGGGGGGAAATGATCAGGGTGAGGGGAGGGAAGGGAGGGAGCGAGGAGGGGGTAGAGAGTCGAGAGGGGAGCTGAAGGCACGATCAAAGAGAAAGGTCTTGAGACCGGCATTGAAGGAGGAAAGGGAGGAGGCGGCGAAGGCACTGGGGGATGGAGTTCCAGAGCCTCGGGGCTGAGAGGCTGAAGGCCCGGCCACCGATGGTAGGGCGGTTAGGGCGGGGGATGTGGAGCAGACCGGAGCCAGAAGAACGGAGGCTACGGGCAGGTAGGTAGGGGGATAGTAGGTCACAGAGGTAGGAGGGAGCAAGACCGTGAATGGTCTTGTAGGTGAGGATGAGGATCTTGAATTCGATCCTCTGGGGGATAGGGAGCCAGTGGAGGCGAGCGAGGGTGGGAGTGATGTGGTCCCGAAGCCTGGTGCGGGACAGTACACGAGCTGCAGAGTTCTGAATGACCTGCAGCTTGTGGAGGGAGGTGCCGGGAAGGCCGGCGAGGAGAGAGTTCCCATAGTCCAGCCTTGAGGTGACAAAGGCGTGGACCAGAGTTTCAGCAGCGTGAGGGGTGAGGCAGTGCCGTAGTCTGGCGATGTTCCGGAGGTGATGGAAGGCGGTGCCAGTTGTGGCGCGGATATGTGGGAGAAAGGACAGCTCAGGGTCGAACAGAACCCCGAGGTTCCTGATTGGCTTTGAGAGGTGGAGAGTGCAGCCTTGGATGCTGATGCTGTCAGCGCCTGAGGTGCGGAGGCGCTGACACGAGCCAATCAGGAGGGCCTCAGTTTTATGCACGTTGAGCTGAAGAAAGTTGTCTCTCGTCCAGGACTCGATGTCGGACAGGCAGCTGTCAGGACATCGGTGGTCGTGGAGTTGAGGGTAGAGGAGGAAAGGTAGAGTTGGGTGTCATCTGCATACATGTGGAAGTTAACCCCATGTCTGCAGATGATGTCACCAAGGGGGAGCATATAGAGGGTGAAGAGGAGGGGACCGAGGACAGAGCCCTGAGGGACACCGCACGAGACAGTGCTGGAGGAAAAGCCGTTCGTGGAAACAAAGTGAAGACAGTGGGAGAGGTACGACCTAAACCACTCAAGGACAGGGATGTAAAGGATGTTAAGGGTGTTGTAAAAGAATTACAATAAAACTCACATAAGTTGTATCAGTCGGGGCCATAACATTTAATATGACTTGCATGAAGTCCAGTTTCAAGCAAACGTAGAAGTCATAGAAAATCCCATTTAATCAATAATCTACGAATCACATTCATAATTCAATGCAGTCGGTAAGTGTGCATGTGTGGTGCATAGGAAACCAAATGGAACTCGGGTGAATGTATGACTTAGGCGTTTATACGATTTATAAAGATAAGACTTATGCGAGTTCTACTGTAGTAAGAAAATTGCTGGCATTCCCTTAACACATTCTTTGTGTTTATTTCAATTGCAATTATTTAAATGTTAAATTGCAGCTACGTTTCTAATAGATACCTTGCCAGTATGAGGGAGTTCTCCCCAGGCCCAGTGCATCTGTGAGTTTAATTGCATTCCTCTGTCCGATGGCTTGCTGACCAATTCCGAGTCACTGTTAGGTGTTGGAGGGCGGGAACCCGTAAGACTGTAACATGAGAAAGCACAGTTCAGTCACATGCGAGTATGAGGAGATCAAGAATTTAGCTGCCAAAGTGTTTTACATATATTGAAGCACACATATCGAGAACCTTGAGGATTAGTACAACTAGATTATGGCAAAAATGTCATGTTGACATATTAATGTATACATAAAATTAAAACTTGTTAACCTGAGCCCTGCTGATATTTCACAATGTGTTGCACTGATCTTGGATATAACTTTGGAGGTGGCTGTGTAAATTTTACTGCTATTGAAAACTATAACAATATAAAACTATTCAAAACTGCCTCAAAATATACATATTAAGACAATACAAAGAGGCTCAAAGTGGCACAATTGCATTTCCTAGACTCCAGTAGATGAGATTAACTGACCTGTTTTGCTTTCTGCAAATTATTAGGCCTTGTGCATTTGGGAAAAAAAGTACTTATTCTAGCTTTCAAAGGGAATTGGATAGGTATTTGAAAAAGAAAAAATAGCATAGCTATGCGGTAAGAACAGGGGAGTCAGACTGTTGGAAGCTCTTCCAAAGAACCGGCACAGGCACAATGGGCAGAATGGCCTCCTTCTGTGTTGCAAGATTCAATGATTCTATTTTGATCACTGCTCAAATTATATTTAATTAAATATAACATGTAGGAGCAGGAGTAGGCCATTCGGTCCTTCAAGCCTGCCCCGCCATTCAATCATGGCTGATCTTCTAATCTAACTCCAGCTAATAACCTGACCCTGCCTTATCCCAATATCCCTTTTGCAATAAGAAATATGTCTATCTCAGTCTTGAATATGTTCAAGGACTGAGAGTCAACAGGTCTTTGGGGTAGCGAGTTCCATAAATTCACCACCCTTAAGAGTGAAGAAGTTCTTTCTCAACTCAGTGCGAAAGGGCTGGCCTCTGATTTTAAGGTTGTGACCCCTGGCTTTAGTTTCTCCAACCAGGGGAAACAATCTCCCACTATCTACTCTATCATGTATTGTAGTGAATTTGATTTGTTAGATTTTACACGAGTGAGCTGAAGTGCACTGGATCAAATCCTAACTGTTTGATCATTATTAACATGGAGGAACAGTACTTTACTGCTGACGGTTTCAATGTTTTCAATCATTTTCATCAAATTAAGTGAATAGAGAGGTTATAGGGGGAAGCAGGGGGTAAGAATGGATGAAGACTAATTTGGAGTAAAAGTCCTGACCAGTTGTCTCCAAATAGCCTGTTTCGGTGCTGTGGATTCTATGTAATCCTATGTCGTCAACCTGGTTTTAATGATTATATCACACATACCTACAGTAGAAGTAGGGTCAATGATGCAACAGTGATGGGATAAACTAAATAACCTAATTCCTTTCATCATTAAAGCAAATAAATAATTAACAGGTGTCTTTAATATCAACTACAAGTCAGGTAAGGGTGACCAAAAAGTCTTGAAGCTACCCTATTATCTAAAAAAAAACCTTCAGTTCTTTAAGACTTATTAGACATTGTAATGGTATCACGACTTTTTGGTCAACCTGTATAAGAAGTCCTGCCGGCAACTGCAATTGTATCACCCTGACCCACAAAATCTCCACAATCTAATTTTCAGCGTGTGATGCAACTCAGAGTCAATATTAACAGCTCCTGTTGCAGATCACCACAAATTAGGCCTCATTTGTTGCTTCATCACAATGTATGCATGCATTATCGTTCTCTTATATCCTAAGTTCTTCTTTATTTACATTGGCTTTAAAGGTTAAAATCTTAATGAAATAAGAATAGGCATCTCTTCTTTGACGTGGTTCACTAAGCTTGCCCTTCACACATAATTTTATAATCCATGCAAGGTACACCCTATTATGTTCCCGCAACCCAATTGTAAAATAACCATCACCACTTCAGTCAGAATTGTGTAACAGAATACAAGTTGATGTTCAGATTGTTAACTTTCATACCATCCAATTCCTTTCTTAAAAAAAAACCTTTTTAATCTTGTTTGTACTTGTAAAGAATATAAATAGAATAGTGTGAGCAGCCGGTCAGGAGGAGAAAGTCTCTGGTTACGTTCATAACTAATTCAGCTTCTCTTGTTGATGATGTCAACTGAGTCTCTTGTTAATGGCTTGGAACATGCTCTCAGATGTCAATATCCTAGGAATACATGGAACAAGAGGAGGCCATTCAGCCCATCACGCCTGTTCCACCAGTTTATTAGATCTTGGCATTTTAGATATTTTAATCCCAAGATGTAACTACTGAAATCACTTTGTCTTTGTTTTCCACTAACTAATGTGCATTTTCCTTGTTTACTTTTACTTCCAAATTTCCCATTGCAGTTGCTTATTTGACTATTCCTGACTCTAAAGCTGAATTATCAGATTCACTAAATGTAAAAGTTGAATTGGATTACTAAAGTGTTTTAGCAGTGGAAAGCACTGACCATTAAAGGTGCCACTTCACATTCTATGCTACGATTTAACTCATAGGAAATTAGTCTTCATTTACACACTAGGCATCGCAGAGTTTCAGGAACTAGTCAGATTTGCTATCATGGATTGGTTCCAGCATTAAGGAGGGAAAAATCAGAATGAATTCTTCATCCCTCTATTGCACCTTATACCAGTTGACCACACATATGGTAGGCCGAGGGAGAGGCTAGGGTCAACTGTGATGCCCTCTACAGTCAGGTGGCTCACTGCTAACACTCACTGCCAAGACTCACACATGGACATGCCAGTTGGGGGGGGTACCAGAGGCAACCAGCACCCGTGGAATTATATCCCAATAACAGGAGGCCAGACTAGGAGCAGACAGGCATGTGCCAGTGGGAAGAAAATTGAAAAAATAACTGGATTCACTAAATTCTTGAACTGAGAAATTCAAAGCAATGTGAAATCCAAGAATGTAAGGAAATTGAAACACACAACTCTGCAGGAATAGAGGGAGCAAATTTGCGATGTGTGATCTGATAATTATCACCAGTGATAATTTTGCCCCTTTTATGATAATTATTCCAAGGTACAGAGTCGTCAGTCATTTAGGTCTCATACTTAACGACTCGTTGGGGCTGAACACCCCTCTGACTTCTAAAGAATGGCTTTTCCCTCCAGGCAATTCAGTGCTGGATTATTGCCATCGCATTTTTTAAAAAGAAAAGCAAGGGAATTGATTTTTTTAAATAAATTCTCTCACTTCCCTCCGATCCAGCACGAAGGATTGCCCATGGCAATACCTGCACTTGTCGATGTCATTAATTGTTACATTAAATCTGTCTTAAAACGCCATTAATTTCACCACCAACTTTCATTGAAGGCAAAGCACACCGTCAACAACAGAATAAGGTGTTCACAATTATTAAAAGGATTAAAACCAACAAAAGATCTCAGCACAAAGTTAGTGAATCTCTATTGTAATAGGAACACCACGAAGCCTGAAGGCACTTCAGCAGCACTTTTATATACCTGAACATTGATGGATACAGAGAGGGTTGTTGTGGACAAGAGCTAGACAAGCCTTCAGCAGCAGGACCAATAAGATGTGTAGACAGCCAGTTGCCCTCTACGAGCTGACTAGAGTTTTGCAGTGTAGCAAAAAAAGCAGAATTACTTTGGCTTTTTGTTCTTATTGAATGATCTCATGTGAACAACTAGCACAAAAATAACAATAAAATTTTACATTTTTATGAAGCGCTTTTAAGATGTTTATCCCATGTGAAAGGCATTCTACAAATCAGTGCAAGCCTTTTACTTAGAATTACCATCTCAAAGTGCTCAACACACACACACAAAAACACACACAGAAGACCTTAGCAAAATCAAATTGTTTTCTGTTTTTCTTGGCAAGGGCACATATATTAGAGGAAAAAAAACATTCATTTTAGCTAGACCTTTTTAAAATAAACACTTCATCTCCATGAATGAAATATCATAAACCAAGGGAAGATGATGATAAATTTGCAACCAATTAAGTGGCAGTTGCCAATATTGACTCATTTGAATCTAGCTGAAAACTCAAGATTTTACTTAAGCCAATTTATTTGCACTTAATGTTTCGTCAGCTAGTTCTCTCAGCTAATGACTCAACAACAACAGCTTGCAATTACATAGCACCCCTCATGCAGGGTAGCATCCTAGAACGCTTGACAGTGGCTGAGCGAGGGGGATGGGGAGGTGACTGTAGGCATGGTCGAAAAATAGGAAGGTCTTCAGGCTCAATCTGAAGATGGAAAAGGAAGGGGCAAGGTGGAGGGATATGGGAAGAGTGTCCCAGAATTTCGGGGTGTAGCGGCTGAAAGTGGGGGCACGGGGGTTCTGTAGGAGGCCGGAGCTAGTCGAGGATAGACAGCGGGTAGTGGTTGGCGATTCAGGAAACATAACGAATAATGATTATTAAATAACCCTTTTAGTGGTCAAATTTAAAATCTTGTGGAACGCTTTGAGATTTTTAACATCATAAAGCACTATAAAAAGCAAGTTATTTCTCTTAGAACTAAATCAATTAAGAGTGAACTCAGGCAAAAAAAATTCACACAATGGGTTAGGAAATGTGGAATTCACTACCGCAAAAGTAGTAACCATCCTTGTGGGGGTGGGGGGGTACATCTGTTCAGGTGGATGTTAAGGGTCCCATGGCACTATTGGAAAAAAGGAGTTTGACCAGGTGTCCTGGCCAACAATCCTCCAAAATAAAAAAATGGTCATTCAATTCATGGCTGTTTGTAGGACATTGCTGAGTGCAAATTCGCTGCAGCATTAGCCCATAAATATAGTCATTCTATTTCATAGTAAATCCTGTGAACGTTTTGGGACGTCCTCCTGATGTGAAAGGTGCTGTACTAAATGCAAGGGTTACTATTGTATTATAACCCTCTGTTGCGGACTTGGTAGGTCAATTTCTGAGCCAAGCGGGTCTGCAGTACGGCATGGTTGACGACAGCCCAACTAGCCTGGCTCATTGGTAAGATTTGGTGAGGCAGACTAATAATCTTTTGGGCACCTCATGATCTCCAGAATCTCCAGGGAGAGAGTGCACATTACATTCCAGGCATTCATACTTGGGTTTTCACATGTGGCAGACAAACAGCCTGACCAAAAAAATTACTCCAAAACGTTGTAGATGCAGGTCAATTTAAATATTTAAGACGGAGTTAAATGAATATTTGTTCAGATTCAGTGTCAAGGAATACACTAAAGGGCAAGAAAATGGCACTAAATTTCATATCAGCTGTGATCTAATGCAATGGTAGAACAGGCTTGACAGGCTGAATAATCCAATCCTGTTCCTATCATGTCTTAACTCAAGTCTTACCAAGATTTCTTAACAAGTTTTCATGACTTGTCAATAGGATGCAAATGTAGTTATCACCTGATATTATGATTTTGGTGAATTGCGAAACAGAGGTGACTAACCCAGGGAATAAATCACTGACTTTGCCTACACTGTAACCATTGGGTTGCATAAGCTAGTGAAAAAACAGGTCTTCCAGAAGGTTTTAAATTATGAGTAAAAAGTTAGCAAAGCCCCTTTTATCTGTTTGTAAACATATGGTGCAATGAGGTAAGTCAATTTGCAATGTGCAATGTGTGACAACACCATCATGAAAGTGACACAGCTTTTCTGGCTCTTACCTTCCAAAACAACAAAAGTGGGGTTGGGGGTGAAGGGGGATGGGGAAGGGAGTCCTATCAATGCTGTATCCAGCATTACAGGACGCCCTATAGTTTTCTGTAGGTGATCACCAGGGATATTTATCACACATCTCCTTAAAAGGAATCATCTACAGGGGTATAGTGCTCTGAGATGCTACCCTGCATGGAGGGCACTATATAAGTGCAAGTTGTTGTTGTATAGGGAAAGAGCAGGTAAATGAGACGGAAAGGATTGGAATACAATGAGGTATTGCAATAACAATGAGGTATTCTTAACTACGATGGGCCAAATGGCCGCCTTTTTAATGGCTATAAATTTCTGTGGTTCTATAGACTCGCCTTTAATAAACAATAAATACAATAAAAAAACGTCAAAACAAACAGTGAAGCCTCTTTTTGTTTGCGCACAGATCTGACAGAGAGCAGCCAGAAGCAACAAATGCAAACGCTTGTAAAGGACAAGAGTCAGCGGAACCACCGATCCTACTGAAATCACTTACCTCCGCCTAGAAAAGCGCTCTCCATCTGAATAAGCATACATTGAAGTTTGTGTGAAACTAAGTGAGGCTCCAGCTTGAGACGATTCATCGCTGTACGGATTTATTGAGACCCTTAAGAAAAAATTGTGCAAGAATTAGTGACGGTGCTGTGTACTTTATTTAATATTATATTCCTATTTGGTAATTTCCAGTTTAGCTTGTATAATGATAATACAGTTAAAGTGTAATAATAATACTACAGTGTACTGCAGTTCTGCCCCACCCTTCCTGTATTCTTTGGCTAGAAATGTCATAAATTTTGTCTTCACACATCAGTCAAGGACAAGACAGTACATGTTCAGATCGGATGTTTCTATAGTGCACAGCAGCACATTCAAAAAATGCGGTGTAACATGGCTGGAATCGGCTTTGGGCCAAAGTTGAAATATTTCAAAAGGAATAGAACACAAAGGGTAGATAGCTATAGGGGGGAAAATAACAGTACTTTGATCGACCTTTGAAAAGACTTAAAAGCTGATAGAGCCTTATCATCAAACACTTCAGAGTTTTTCTGTATATTGTGACTGTGTCAGTAGGTGAATTGGCAGCCAATTTAGGCACAGCAATGTCCCAAAACTGGCCACCTTTTCCATCAGTTCCAAGAGTATTTACACATTTCAGATGTGGCAGAAATTCTAGTGATACTTGGCCAATAAAACTCTACACTTCAAATGAACCTATCACAGACACATCCGAAGCCTGAAATTCCCCACCCAATTGGCTTGAGTCTGTTGTCATAAAATTTAAGATTGTGTAGAATTTTGCAAATTCCTTATATTTAGTCTTGATTTAGAGGCTGTTTTTTGCGATTCTTGAAGCTAAGACTACAAGTAATTTTGAGTTGATCTCAGATGGCTAGATTATAAGTGTGTGGAAAAAGATCTCAAAAAGAACCGCGTTTGTGAAGATTAAATTTTACTCTGATTGTTTAAACCTTTCAGTCTCATTGTACTAGAAAATGAATGCACTCTTTCGTTTCAGACACTCTGCTTACATGCCCAGCCCAGTACAGTGCAAGTACAGTGTTTTCTGTCACTTGGCTGCTCTTTCTCTGGTTGACATATAAAGTGGAAATAAGAGATGGGATGAGTGCTGCGTGATCCTGTCTTTAGAACATTCAGTACTCAGGCAACGACTGAAATACCAAATGTAATTGGTCAGCACTTAGGACTATAATTACTTCCCCAACTCAGTGAGATGAAACTCTCCAGACAAGGCACAGAGTTTTCTGCACAAGTTTCTTGATCAATGATGGAAAAATAATTGGGCTGATGGAAAAGTGTGATATTTCTTTTTCTTTCTCCAACAAGTGCCTCAAAAGGCAGCTGGACACTTTCTTGTCAGCCGTTCCAGTTCCTATTGTTTCTCATCTTACCATCCCTCCCACTCTCCTGAGCAGTTTCCACAACTTACAGCCTGTGCTGTCACTTTCTCTGAAAGGTGTCTTAAGCAACACAAGTTCCAATAGTAATCATGTTCATATGGATTGTGTGTTAAACAAGGAGCTGTGAAATCAGTATAATTTCCATTATACATAAGCATCCTCCCTAGGAGTCCTAAAATCACTGATAAAATCGACAAGCAGATAAAATGCTAACATTTCTCCAGGTGTCAGCTTGACTTTGTTGTTGACATTCTTGCTTTGAGTCAGAAGTTTGTTAAGTTCAATACCCACATTGGGACTTTGAGCTCCTAGTCTAGGCTGACACTCCAGTGCAGTGTTTTTTTGGAGAACATTGCATTGTTGGGAGGTGACAACTTTTGGATGTGACGTTAAACTGAGGTTTGGTCTTCCTGTTCAGGGTAACATTAAAACATCCCATTGTGTTCAAAAAGTTTCCTGGCCAATAATCCCCCAGATAAGATTGGTCATGGCTGATTCTGGGACATTGCTGTGAGCCAATTGTTTGCAGCATTTACATATAAATACAGGCACTATACAGTAATGTACAGTAAATTTTAACAATGTGAGAAGGAGCTAGGTCAAATGCAAGGATTAATATTATGAATCCCAGAGGAAGTGAATTAAATGCTCTGAATATGATTCATTATTTCAAACATTCAAAAATGTTTGGATTAAATATTCTTAAGTATGGTGATGGGTTTCCTTGTACATGAATAAACCTTCAGTTGTTTCTTTGCTGTGTTGTACAGCAGATTGCTTACTGCATACTGTAATAATTGTAATAATCTTGCACTTGATATAGCGCACTTTTCACGTCTTCGAGATGTCTCACTGTACCTGGAATTCTCAGTTGACTCGATCTCTTCTTCAGAGCTGATTTCAATGGAAAACATATCCTCATTCTCTGAAGTATCATCGTTGTCATCTCTTTTTATACTGTCCACTTTTGACTTGCGTCTCCTTTTTCTCCTCTTTTTCACAGAATTGCTGCCGATTAAGCTCTCTGGGGAGGGCTGTGAATTGTGACTGTTTGTTGGTATTTGTGAGGATTCTAGGTTTTTCTGCTTGTCCAATGAGCTTCTCCTCATTGCTGTTTCCATTAACACAGCTCCCTCTGACATGATGGGCGAAGTGTTCAGATGGAAAGGAACAATTTCCTAAAAGCAAGTGAAAGCCATATATTGAAAGGACTGAACATAACATAATGTGGATCACAAAGCAGTCAGGAGGTTACACTCTATTCTATTAGAGCAAGATATCAATACTGATAGTCTTTGAAAGCCTTCAAAATTAAAATATTGCCCAGAACTTACAGAAATGACAATTGAATTGGATAAGATTAGCTAACTCCACGAACAGTAATTGTTTTTACTGGGGAGCGAGGTTCGGCTGATCACCCCCATTATCCGAATTACACTGAATCACCTCCCACTAGGGAACAAAGGTTGGCCCCGCAGCAATCCTCAATCCCTTCCCCAAACTTTTCTAGGCCCCAAATTGTTGTCAAATGGCATTGTGGACCTGAACCACGTCTTCACGACCACCCAAGAAAGTCAGGTGACCGGATGGCCTCTCTGGCAGGGCAAACCCAACCTGAGCCTAGTGACCAACTGCTCAAGTGAGCTCCATATTCCAGTATCTCCTCTTCCTCTTCGTGAGGGCAGATCAAACTCCTCGAATTGGAAGTTCTGCAATACTGATCCCAGTCAACAGAGGGCTGAAGCATAGGCCCCTGGCAGAGCTCCTAAATTATTAGTGACATTAGGACGTGGCACCATTACACAAGCGAATCTCAACAGGTGAACTTTTCTGTTTGGTGCTGACCCAAGAACCTGCTGAGAACAGATACCACACATGATCTCAGCCAGAAGGCAGACAAACAGTGATCACTTCTACTGGCTTTGTGACATTGCCATTTTCAGCTAACCTGGGCACTATATGGGCATGCACTTTATTTATTGCACCTCACCATGCTTGTTCATATTCACACATCTACACAGCTCTGAGAAGAAACTGGAGTATTTAATAATCTTGACCTGGGTCCGCACCTATAAAATCTATTTGCTGATGTCAGTGTACAGGCCAGAATGTTTGGACCGGCATCAGCAGGTGGATATAGGGTTGTGTCAATGACTCACAATGGATCAGCTGTTACACTAAAACTCATTCAGTCTCATTCCTTTCGGATTGATCTTGTTGGGAGTCAGAGCAAGCTGGAGCATGATTTGGTTATTCTAGATCATTATTTCACCCTGTACTCATGCTGCTGTAAGCAGAAACTTGACATGAATCTGCAACACAATGATGTGTAACAATCAAAGCCAAAGGCATGGAATATGTGTGAACTCTTCCAAGATTGCTTGCATGAACCACTGAAGAATACTTAGCATTTACAACAGATGGTCATCATGGTAGATGTTGGTCATTGTGCTAGATGTTTACAGACAACAACAGACTCCAGACCACTGGTAGTTTCACAACATGGTAAATAAAATGGGGTTTAATTCATAGTGATTTCTAACAGGATTCCATAAGTAAATGGGATGTGTGCCACACCAAATCGAAAGAACTCAACTGCAATACCGACTACTGCTGCAGAATTCCAGTGAGCTTGCATGACGCACATGATGTACTAGTGTATTGGTTGCAATGGTCAAGGCAGCCTCCAGATTAGCTTTCAAAAGGAAGCTACATAGATACCCGCAAAGCATTCATTTTCAGGGATACTGGGGAAAGGGCAGGTAAATGTAACTGAATGGATTACTTTTTCAAAAAGCCAGCACAGACACAATGAGGTGAATGGCATTCTTCTGTGCTATAAATTTCTATAGTTCTATACTTCCAATTACTGGAAGCCATCATACCTGGGTTCCTACAAATACGCAGTCAATACACTTCACAGTAAATCCTGTGAAGCGCTTTGAGACATTTTGATGATGTGATGAGGTGCTGTTTCAAATTCAAGGATTAGTATTACTGTATTATTAAGGTTTAACTGCTCATATACTAATTTCTACAATTTGTGCAGTTTTTGGTGTGCAGAAACTACAGTGGGCATTATTAGGAAATGTTTGTGACCTATGGGTGAAATTTTAGTTGTTTCATAACACATTAATCAATGATGAAATAGCTACAAATTTCACCCCATTTTCCCAGTGTATCAACTGCAGAGACACAGATCAACAAACCCGACAAGTTAAAATTCTTCATTGGTACATCAAACCCAGAATGGTAATATTATCCTCATCTTATACCTTCCATTTGATTGTTCTTGACAAGACAATAATAAAGATCATAGTTCTTTCTTGGGAGTCAGTGGAAAATGAGTTTGTTGTGTGACTGCACTGAGGCCAATGCATTCAAGAACCTGGGCCAAGGATAGATTTGTAACATTTTCATATGTCACATTATCTTAACATCCCGTTCCATTCTCTTCAGCACTAGATGTGGAATGACAATGCATTTTTTTTGGATCCAGTAGTGTCTTTGGCATATAGTTTGTAGACATATGACACATCATATCAGAAGGCAGAAAGTCAAATTGCTAAATGGTCCGATGCCAGATTATTGTGGTTTTCCTCATTGTTATCTGACATAAAGCCGAATATTTGCCCAATCACACAGCTTGCTCCTCTGCAAATGCTGCTCTGCTGAAAAAGCATCAGATACTTTCCTTTTCTACTCCAACTCACAAGACTGTCCCTCTATTTTCTTATTTTACAACAGAATCAAGCCCTTTAGTTAAAACCTACCTAGCCAGTTACATACTGTAGTACAGCACTCGTTAATGAGGGTGAAATTTGCGTAAAAAAGGCTTGAAGTTCCATCTAGCCTTAGCCCATACTAGATGCAGGTTGGCCACTGTGTTTGCCTATAACTCCACAGTTACTACACTTCACAGAAAATTATATGCAAGCTGAAGTGAAGTGATTTCATATTGGCATGCAAACACAAGTTGCATAGAATAAGATTTCACAAACAGTCATCAAGTGAAAGATCAATTTTATTTGATGAAATGCTGAACAGGTTGATAGGACTTGGGTTTAACATCTCATTTGAAGGATGGCACCTGTGATAAATGCAGCCCTCCCCCAACACTGCACTGAGACTGTGAGCTCAAGTCCAAATGTGGGCTTGAACATGCAACTTTCTGACCCAGATCCAACAGTGCTAGTAACTCAGCCAAGCTAACAGGATATGACTATTTTCTCCTACATTGGGCAAAAGAGATGTTAAGCAATTTGATTATAGGGCTTAGTTGGTGCTGCTCTTGAATTACCCACTAAAAGGGTTGAGAGAGCGCTCTCAGTTAACGGACTCATCTTTGGACGTGTGTCTGTGCTTCACGAGACAACCATTTGGTTCCCATATTATTAACCTACACTTGTTACATTGTTCAGTATCCAACTGAAATAGTCAACTATTGGCTTGCAAACACCTTTGTATGGTTTCATTATTTTTAATATTACTGTCTCTTGTTTGCACCATGGATTGGATCTTCGACATTCATGCAAAGCATACCAGTGCATCTTTCCATTAATCCTTACCACAATCTCATTTAAAACAGCAAATATGAAATCCTGTTATAATTCTACAAAATCTTTCCAATGTCAAAACAGATTTTAATAACAAAGAAGATAATAATAATCATTATAGAGCCTTCCGTATTCTCTGTGACGAAAATGATAATAATCCTTGCATTTGATAAAAGTGCTTTTCATGTCAGAAGAATGTCTCAAAGCTCTTCACAGATTACTATAGCGACTGTGTGTTTTGTGAACAAATGCAGCAGACAATTTGCACACAGCAAACTGTCCCACAAACAGCCATGAAGTGAATTGCATATTTGGATCGCGTCAGCGCCTCCACACCTCAGGCGCTGACAGCATCAGCATCCAAGGCTGCACTCTCCACCTCTCAAAGTCAGTCAGGAACCTCGGGGTTCTGTTCGACCCTGAGCTGTCCTTTCTCCCTCATAGCCGCGCCACAACTGGCACCGCTTTCCATCACCTCCGGAACATCGCCAGACTACGGCACTACCTCACCCCTCACGCTGCTGAAACCCTGGTCCACGCCTTTATCACCTCAAGGCTGGACTATGGGAACTCTCTCCTCGCCGGCCTTCCCGCCACCTCCCTCTACAAGCTGCAGGTCATTCAGAACTCTGCAGCTCATGTACTGTCCCGCACCAGGCTTCGGGACCACATCACTCCCACCCTCGCTCGCCTCCACTGGCTCCCCATCCCCCAGAGGATCGAATTCAAGATCCTCATCCTCACCTACAAGGCCATTCACGGCCTTGCTCCCTCCTACCTCTCCGACCTACTATCCCCCTACCTACCTGCCCATACCCTCCGTTCCTCTGGCTCCGGTCTGCTCCACGTCCCCCGCCCCAACCGTCCTACCATCGGTGGTCGGGCCTTCAGCCTCTCAGCCCCGAGGCTCTGGAACTCCATCCCCCAGTGCCTTCGCCGCCTCCTCCCTTTCCTCCTTCAAGGCCAGTCTCAAGACCTTTCTCTTCAACCGTGCCTTCAGCTCCCCTCTCGACTCTCTACCCCCTCCTCACTCCCTCCCTCCCCTCCCCTCACCCTGACCATTTCCCCCCTGCTCGGGTCCCGACCCAACTGTCCAGCGCCTTGGGACGTCCTCCCGACGTGAAAGGCGCTCTATAAATGAAATCTTGTTGTTGTTGTATTTTATCTAGGGAAAACTCCCTTCTCTTTTCTAATAGTACTGTGGAATCTTCAATATCCACCTGAAATCTCACCCAAAGGACAGCACCCTGGACAATGCAGCACACCACAGCACTATACTGGAGCGGCATTTTAGAATGAGTTCAAAACCCCAACATGGGACTTGAACCCACACCTACTGACTTAGAGATGAGAATGGAACCAACTGTACTAGGCTGTCACAGGCTGATCAGAAACGGTGTAAAGGTTCATTACAAAAATTCTAATTCGTCATTTGGTACAAACACATGGCAACATTTTGGACATCCTTCCGATGTGAAAGGAGCTATGGGCAAGTTTCCTTACTCCACACGCCTAATAATAATCCTTCGAAAAAAAAATAATAAATTGGTCATTTTCAATCCATGACTGTTTGTGGGTCATTGCTCTGCGCAATTAGCTGCCGCGTTCGCCCACAAATATAGTCAATTCACTTTACAGTATATTCTGTGAAGCGCTTTGGGACGTCTAGAAGACGTGAAAAGTGCTATATCAAATGCAAGGATTATTATTATTATTAAATGTAATTTCTTGTTGAATTTTTTATTGTTTACCTCAAACCTGCTATTTTGTGTTTCTTGAAGCACCAAACAATGGTGACCTGCACTAATTCACATGTAGGACATGTTTATGAAAATAAGATGGAACATTAAGATGAGATTGTAAGGACTGGCTTGTTTCATGCATCAAGAGTCAACCCACAGCCTTTAGATTTCCAATCTAAAACCCTCACCATGAATAGAAACTAATCCAAAAGAATGAATGAGTATTAATGGTGCTAAATTGGATTTCAAGATTTGACTGCAAACTGTAATAGAAAGTGATTATTCCAGTCCTTGTGTGCCCTGTGCTAAATCAGCATTACCGAAACCAATCAATGAAGAATTCTGAAGGAGACATAATAGCACAGTCAGCTGGTGTTTTTACAAACAGTTACTGATCATGCCTGTACTTCTATTTTGGGAGAGACTGTCAGCAGGTATTCAGCACTCATCATTACATCTCAGGGTTAAGAGAAAGATCTTAAAATGAAATATTCCAATTCTGAAGCCCAGGTGCATTATGATTTATTTATTCAAGCAAAAACCATGCAAACTATTAGATAAACACTAATCCTGTGATTTTTTTTTTGCTGGCACTTTACTCCCAGCAGTGTAGCTCTATCAGCAGGATTCAAATTCACAACTGTGTATGCACGACCTTCCCCACCTTATCCTCCAGCCTCACAGGAGTTTGTACAGAAAGATTGCCTTTGGCACATCATATCCAATACTTTAAAGACATTCTAACTTTCAATTGCATTTATTATTGTTTCCCAAAACCATAGTTCAGTTTATATACACTTCTATCAGATGTTCTGGGAAAGAACAGGGAAGGGAAGAGGAGTCAGCCTGAATTAGTTGGTAACTCTCTCTCTCACCTCTGAGTTAGGACTTGGAACTCATACAGTCGAAGCTGACGCTCCAGTACAATGCTTAGGGCTGTGCTGCACTGTCAGAGGTGACGTCCTTTGGATGAGACGTTAAACTGAAGTTCCATTTGCCTGTTCAGGTGGATGTTAATATTTCTTGATTTATACCATATTTTTCAATCAAGAAAAAACTGAAAACACACGACCAATCGAACACTGACTTACCTAGACTTAAGTGAATGTTTGCGGTGGGTGGAGAGGGGGTCTTCTTGATGGCCCCATGAACCACTTCCGGCCCATAGGCCACAGGTTGGCCATCACTGGGATAAAAACTGTAGATGCTTGACTTGCATTGGATTGGTTGTATTCTTATTGTTATGAAGCATAACACTTTGGAGTTAGAATGGTATCTGTAACATCGCAGTTTCTAAGGCCAAATATATACGTGTATCTATTTGGCAGAGAACATTCAAGGATAGACTATATCTACATATCTTGCCAAATATGATCTGGTATTTGTCTGCAGTTGTTTACCTTTATTCCAGTTGGCTGTAAGGCAACATTGAGTAGAAATTCAGACTGAAATGTATTTGCTTATTTATAGAACTAAGGTAGTAACAATACTTTTTGAAAAGAGAAGGAAATTTCTCCCAATGTCCTGTCTGATAATCCCCTAGATATTTACCTTATAAATGTTTATCGGACATTGTCAAAGTTCCATGCTTACCACCTACACAAGTTTGTGTTTTGAATGAAATGAACTCTCTCCTCAGAGGGACGGATCCTGCTTACCTAATCCTGAAGAGTATTATGCACAAAAGCCAAGGTATGGGGACCCCAGAGTCTGTTTTGAGGTACTGCTGGAGTTTAACCAGCTAAAACTACATAGATTGCCTTAGAAAGCACTATCAGGCAAGCTTTCCTGCTGCTTGTCCAGCTAGAACCACCTTTCCCTTTAGGGCTATGGCTTGCAGGAGCTGAGTGGAAATAATCCAGTGACCATCCAAGTCCCTGCTCCTCTATTTCCTACTGATGGGCCAGGCTTGGTTCGGCTGCCATTAAATTGCGTATACCACAATTTCATTTGTAAACCAGAAATTCCAATTAACATGGCAAAGCCGAGGTTGTAAATACTGCAATGTACATTGGGTATGTATTGTGATATGACATTTATAAAGCTCCGTCTGAGTAAATAATAATAATCATTGCATTTGATGTAGCGTCTTAGCCCGTCTTCGAGACGTCTCAAAGAACAGCAGTGTCTCACAAACAGTCGTGGATTAAGTGTTCAAATTATTATTATTATTACTATTTTTTTTGAAGGAATTATCAGCTCCATAAAAGCGATCTACCAATCAACTAACAACCAGGTTCCTGTTTACTGCTCGGTAAACAGAGACGTGTGGAGGAAGGAAATTTGCCCAACGTTTTGCCTGCCCGGGAATCAAACCTAGGTCCTTTCACTTGCAAGGCAAGTGTTCTAATCACGAAGCTACAGGACTCCACAATCTGAGGCTTCATCACCAGAAGACACGTAATAAATTAAACTTTTATAGACGTTATATTTCACACACAAATATTATGGATATCGACGTAATTAAATGAAAATGATTATACTTTATAATCTCATCACTTGCCCGATTAGATATGAATTTGTTCTAGAAGTGTTGGTGACATGTAATTGAAACCTTGTACAACATAAATAATAATTTAATATTATACTAAAAAGGGTATTGTATCTAAAATTGGAAATTAATTCCGCTCATTCTAGTTGTAAGCATTTCAGGAATACTGTGGTTAGCATTACTTTTAAACTCAGCACCATTTGCCATGTGTCCATCCATAATATTTTTTCCAGCTTGCTAAATTTCCTGCCAAAGGGAATATGGACATGTGAGTCTATAAATGAGCACAACTGGTGATGGCACAAGGCATAATTGAAGTGCCAACGCTCTGAAACTGTCAAGTTTGCTTCACAAATCTGTTAACTTCTGTTTACCTTATTACTGGCCATCTCTTCAACAAAAAATGCCTCTCCATTGTCTCCAAGTTTCATGTGCAACTGAACCGGTTCTCCATTGATTTCTATATCCACCTGACAATTGGGAGACATTCATTCATTACATAGTTCAGATATTAAAACAAAATTAGGACCTTTCTAAATGAAAATCTGCTGTGTTGACTCATGCTTTTATTTATTACTTCAACATTTCTTTCCTGACTTTCTTTTAAAATTTAAACCCTATATCCCACAATTTCATTTGCAAATCGGAAATCGTAACTAGAACAGCAATGTTGAGGTTGTAATTAATAATATTAATCCTTGCATTTGATATAGCGCCTCATCACGTCTTCGAGACGTCTCAAAGCACTTCACAGAATATACTGTAAAGTGAATTGACTGTATAATTTATGGGCGAAAAGCGGCAGCCAATTATGCACAGCAGTATCCCACAAACAGTCGTGGATTGAGTAACTAAATTATTATTATTCCTATTGATTGTCAGGAAGTGTGTTTTAGTTCCAGTTTTATATTTGGATATTGGTTTGGATGAAGAAGGCCCTTCGGCCCATCAGATCTCATCTTTCCACAACACCCACCCTACCGTCCCCCTATCATAGTATCAAGCTGCTTTTTTAAACAACAACAACAAAATTACATTTATAGAGCACCTTTCACGTCGGGAGGAAGTCCCAAAGCACTGAACAGTCAGATGTCAGGGCCCGAGCATGGGGGAGTCGTGGTGTAGGGGTGAGGGAAGGCAGAAAGGTGGGAGGGAGACCAAAGGCATGGTCGAAGAGAAGGGTCTTGATACCGGCCTTGAAGGAGGCGAGGGAGGAAGCGAGGCGGAGGGACCGTGGGATGGAGTTCCAGAGTGTGGGGGCAGAGAGGCTGAAAGCCCTGCCACCGATGGTAGGGCGGGTCGGGCGGGAGACATGGAGCAGACCGGAGTCCGATGAACGGAGGGTGCGGGCAGGTTGGTAGGGAATCAGCAGGTCAGAGAGGTAGGAGGGGACAAGGCCATTGATGACCTTAAAGGACGAGGATCTTGAACTCGATCCTCTGGGGGATGGGGAGCCAGTGGAGTCGGGCGAGGGTGGGAGTGATGGGGTCGCGGAGCCTGGTGCGTGAGTGTACACGAACTGCAGAGTTTTGGATGATCCAGTGTCGTGGACTCAACTACCCTTCCTGGCAACCTGTCCAGCCGTGTTAATTTTCTGACGCAGAAAACTTTAACTGCATATTTATTTTTAACGTTTGAATAACCTTGTGTATGAAACACTGACAGAATGGATTTGCCAAACAACTTTATTTGAACAAGTAACTGTAGCTTCAGTAAAATAAACACCTTTGCCCAATAGTAGTAGAATATTTCCACTGGTCAGTAATCAGTAGAAGATAGCACAAATTTAAGATAATCACAAAAATAGACAAGGTATACACAATGTTTTGTTACGCAGAGGATTCTCAGCCACAAACCATTTTTTAGCAGTGTGTGGCGAAGGCTCACTGAAACACTGTGATTTCACCGTGATCGGAAACAACAATGATGGTAACTTAGAAACATTGGTGTCACGAGTGGCCTCAGCAACGTTGAACTTTGGTGTTGAAATCTTTGAACTAACTTTGGCCAAAACTATTGTGTTGAATTTGGGGAAAGGGAAGACGTTTCACACCTGAAGCCAGTCTTTAGTTATCCACTGGAAATTGTTATCTTATCAAAGGAATTATCAAATAAGGTATTGACTCCATTAAGAAATTGAACCTATTAAGAAACAATCACAATTTCAACCCCATTGAAGGTTATGGAGAGCAAGTAGAAGACTGGGATTAGACTAAATGGCTCATGTGGAGAAAAACACCAGCACAGACTAGATGGTCCAAATGGACTGTATGTGGGTTATAACATTCAATGGGATGTAAATGGCATGGTGCAGTCTATTTGTTACTCCTTTAGTTACTGAGATTATTATTTAACTAACCGAGTTAAGGCTCAGTACCTTACTCAGGGAAATATTCATGTGTAGATATATATATTATATAGATATATATATTATTATATTATATGTAGATATATATATATGTAACTCTCAGTCTTAACATAGTAATGGGTTTCCGCATGTGTCAGATGTGAACCGGCTGACAAAAAAAAATTCCTTACTCACCACTTTTTCCTTAGAGCGTAAAACTCCCAGTTTTCCAAAGCGAACATGGAATGGTGAACACTGGAGACTCCCATCTGGCTGCCTCACAACAATAATATCAATGCAGCCTGATAACGTAGCTGGATTTAATCCCTTGTAGAGATCCTTCACTGTGACAAACACTTGTCCAGCCAATTGACCAACGTAGTTCATGGTTTGAGTCTTTGAAACAAAACAAAGAAAACGTGGATTTATTAAACTGTTCCTTTTCTTTGCTTCATTCAATGCCAACCAGCAATCATATGATGCTAGTATAACAACAGTAACTTTCACTTATATAGAACCTTCATACAAGGTAGCGACTCAGAGTGCTTAACAGTGGCACAGCTTGACATCGAGCCAGGGAGAGTGGGGAGGCGGCTGTCGACTCGTGGGATGATAGGCCCGTGGAGCCTAGTGAGGGAAAGGACATGAACTGCAGAGTTCTGGATAGTCTGCAGCTTGTGAAGAGGCGAATATTCTGCCGTCAATATTCCTCCCTCATCTAAACATCAGCTTCATTGGTCATTTACCTCATTGCTGCTTGTGAAATCTAGCTGCTGCAGATCAGCTGCCAGGTTTGCTTACATAACAGAGTCTACACAAAGTAATTCATTCTGTGCAGCTCTTGGAGATCCAGATATACGATAAGGATACTGTATATTGAACGCAAGTGACATTTTATTTTCTTTCCGGCATATTCTGTCCCAGATCATCAATATTAGCCTTTCAAAGTGTCATCACCTCCTTCCTTATTTAATATTAGTGACTGTCCCAGATTATTTTCCTTCTTGATGTATTTTTCAAGTTGAGTAAGTTTCTACTTCCCTGTTTCAAAATGGATGGTTCCAGAAAGCGAGTGTGTTTTTTGTCCTGAAGGTGAAGTGATACCATTGTTTCCCAGCTCTAACCCTTGGAACGGCTCAATGTACAGCCAGTTTGTGAATATTGGAGCCAATGATATTCCAATTCAAACATCAACAAAGTCTGGAAAAAAGCTCACTGGTCTTTCTTGATTTGTGCGATTTGTAAGATGCAAATTTTGAAAACCAATGTTCACAAATGAGAAGTGGTTAATGAAGCAATGAAGCCAACCACTGATGAAATATTCAGACTGTTTATTTTCACGTCACAGGACTTGGCCTTGTCTTATCTGGATTTAAACTACAGACTACAAAAGCATTTTCTAGAGCCGCAAGACTAGTCCAATGCTTTCAACTCGATGATCAATGCGATAATCAGCACATTAGCAGAATTTCTGCTCCCATGTACAGATGTCTGGCTGCAGGAAAAACCCACTCCATCACACACACGCCCAGACACATACATACCACTGACTACATCAAAGAATTCAGGCCTGAAGCTATTGACAGCCGGTGGCATAATTGAACCTGAAGCCCTGCAAGTCCACAGCATTTCAGAATCAATCAGTTCAAGGAAAACTGGATTCAGATTTTAAAGTTTAACACTGATGGTCAGAGGTATATTGATTGCCATTGCATGGGATGGCAAACTCGATCAGAGTTAGGCCACTATCATGAACAGCAACACAGACATTGCAATCTGTGGGCAGAAACACGGTTGAGGCAGTCAGAGGCTTCAGCCAACTTCAAACCTCTGTACTGAAGCTACCGTACTGAAGTAGTTAATGACTGTGTATTGTGCCAGTGATATGCAAAAGCAGCCAGTTTGGACACAGCAATACCCTACAAGTAATCATAGCACAAGTTCGGTCTGGATGAAGAAGGCCCTTTGCCTCCTCCAATCTCACCTCTCTAGAACACCCACCTTACCGTCCACCCATTACTGCACCAGGCTGCTTTCTGAACAAATCTAGTGTCTAGGCTTTAAGCACCTTTCCTGGCATCAATTACTCTCTGCGTAAAGAACAACTTCCTGTCCTGAATTTGTCATGGTATCTTTAAAGTCCACCTTTAAGAGGCAGCCAGGACTTTAATTTAATGAATCATCCGAAAGGCAGCATCTCATATAGTGTAGGACTAGCTACCCAGCACTTCACTAGAGTGTCATCTTAGAGCAGGATGGTTCAACTGCCAGTCCATCGACTGCAGGTCTGTTTCACCCAAATCCCCACCCCCTCACCCCACTTCATTTCATCTGGCCCACCCACTTCCTCCCTAATTGTTATATTATGTTTGTGGAAGGGAAACACAAAAATATTGCTTGTCCTGCCCGCGGATGTTTCTCAAATGGGGCATCCGGCCCTCAGCAGCCAAAAGTTTGAACCAACTTATCTTAGACTATGAACACGTCCCAACATGTGCCTGGAAACGAAGATTTTCTCAATCAAAGAATCCTCGCAACTGAGTCAGTCCGACCTCATAAGAACACGCACGCAGTAAAAAAGCCATACAAAATCTCCAGATGAAATGAGTCTAACATTCCCGAACCTAATCACAATTTTGCTATCCTGATTTCCGAGTATCTCTATTATGAATATATGAGATTCTTTTCAGTGTCACGGCACACAAGGTGAAATGTATAAACAAGTTTGCCAACACGATCACCACAGACCTGACAGGGCTACTTATTTTGAAATTCAAATGTCCCACCACAAATGCCATACATGCTATGAAAAGGCCCACAGAGATAAAATTATACATCTGTGGCAATTAGAAGTAATATGGCATGGTCATGGTGAGACATTCTTCGACTTGCAGAACTCCTCAGTTGTTCCCTATATGTATGTAATTGCCTACTTGTTTCGCCCACAAAATATACAGTCACCACACTTTACAGTATATTCTGTGGAGTTCTTTGAGATGTCTCAAGAACATGATAAGGCGCTATATCAAATCCAGGGATTATTATTATTATTATTATTACTACATAACCTGCAGACCATCCAGAATTCTGCCACCCATGTCCTCTCCTACACCAGGCTCCAGGAGCCTATCACCCTTATTGTTGCTCAGCTCCACTGGCTTCTAATCCTTTGTCGGATCGAATTCAGCATCCTTCTCCTCACATTCATGTCCTTCCATGGCCTCGCCCCTACCCTACCTCTGCGACTTACTGCAACCCACCACCCCAGACATTCAGTGACCACTGGCCTACTTCATAGTCCTTCACCCTATTAGCCCCACCATCAGTGAGCAAGCTTTCAGCCCCCATCCCGGAGCCCCTCCAACTTTTCTCCTTCCTCCCCACCTTTGACCGCACTTTCAGTTATCGTTTACCTCCTCCCCCACCCATCTTCTTCAGCAGTCGTGCCCAACCTCACCTCTCTCCCCCCAGCTTCTGTGCCTCACCAGCTGTATAAAGTTCTTTGAGACATCCTCCTGACGTGAAAGATGCTATATAATTGTAAATTGTATTGTGTAACATTAGCTAATTTCATGCAGCTCTGTAATTGACATGCATTATTCTCCGTATCCTGGAACCCATTCATCCTAACTCATAAAGCACAAAGTCACGACCGATCTACAAAAGTCCATCTCTATATGTAATATGAGTCTTAATGTCCTTCAGATCAATATCATCACAACTGATATCCTGTTCAGCTCTCACCAGCATCTTCTTGTCCATGCCTTTGACTTCAACAACTTCCCCAATTGCTCCCTCTGGCTCACTGAGCAAGTGTGTAACCTTGATGTTTTCAGCTCTTTCTAACTCTACATCAAATCCACCAACAAGGCCACCTTCCTCAATCAAGGGAACATTCTCCTGAAATGTCCTCCTGCCATGAAAGGCATGATACCAAATGCAACAGATATTATTTATTATTACTATAGCGCCTTCTCACATTGTCGAGATGTCTCAAAGTGGTACAGGAATTACAGCAAAGTGTAGTGGCTGTACATTATGTATGTGAATGCAGCCGCTAATTTAAGCAAAGTAATGTGCCATAAATGGCCATTAAGTGATAGATCAATTTTATCTGAGGGAAATGTTGGCCAGGACACCAGGAGAAACTCCCTTCTCTTTCAAATGCCATGAAATCCAATCATTCAACTGAATAGGAAAATTGGGACTTCGGTTTGACATCTCATATACAAAGGACAGCACCTCCAACAATACAGCACACCTTCAGCTTTTCTTTGGACTGTCAGCTTGGACATTAGTTCAAAGTACTACTGAGGTAAGCTGAAACTATGTATAATTAATGGGCACGTACATGCATGAACACTGTTGGGTTATTTGCCCAACCCACATTTAGATGCCATTATCACTCCTGAAGCTTTCCAGTCAACTTTCCTTGTAGAAATATTTGCCTAGCACACTGTTGCTGCCAACATATCTTCTAATCAATCAAGCATTGCTATGAATTAGACACATCACTGGCCTCAGTCATTCCACTATACAGTATTACTATTTAATTACATAACAGTGTTAAAAACAAAACAGTAAAATAAAAGCAATGATAACTATAGGCTAGGTGATAAGTCAGTTTCTACTAGACCTTCCAATCCAGACAGAGAACAATTAATCAAATAATAATCTTACATTTTTATATAGTGCCTTATGATGTCTTTGAGACGCCTCAAAGCGCTTCACAAGGTATATTGTAAAATGGATTGACTGCGTATTTTGTGGGCTACATGTGGCAGCCAACTGCATACACAGCAATGTCTCACAAACAGCCATGGAGTGAGTGACCAATTTTATTTGGGGGGATTGTTGGCCAGGTCACTGGGAGAAATCCCCTCTCTTTTCGAATAGTGTTGGAATCTTTAATATCCACTTGAACAGGCAGATGGGACCTCAGCTTAACATCTCATCTGAAAGAGGGGTGTACCTACCCTACCCTAAATAATTATCACAAGGACAGAATATGTAGTAGTTTTTATATCCTACTTAATGACAGCTTTTGAGCTGAGGACCTCCCTTCTCTTCACCCCTCTTTCCTCCTCAACTTCTATCAAATAGTTTCTCCCTCGTCCGTTTTAAAAGGACGGCTTTCTTTCTCTCCGCATCGTCTTTAAAATTGCCGATGGACTCTGTTTCTTGAATCCCAGCCCAGACTTTAAAACTTTTTAAATTCAACTTTTTAAAAATGCTTCAAATTGTTTTTCAGCCACAACCCAGTGAGAAAACATGGAATCCCAGCTGTCGGGATTCCACGTTTAAAGCACGATTAAAACACATTTTCAGAGATAATTATCACATCACACATTTCTCTCCGAGTTGCAGAAGTACTCTCACCCTAATATTATGGAGGGGGAGTATCTCCTTGGTACAACTATAGGGTAAATCTAAGGCACTGACAATCCCAGACCAAAGTGACAAATCCCAAGGTTCATGTAAGTTTCGCGCACACAATACACAGTCAATTCACTTTACAATATATTCTACGAAACACTTTGAGTCACCTCAACAACATGGTGAAGTGCTATTAAATTATTTTATTAACTATTATTAAATTATTATTATCAAATGCGAGCATTATTATTATTATTATAAAACACGTTGTGGGTCTCTTGGTAGCTAGTTTCCGCAGCATCAGCAGGGATCCTCTGTGTCAGGGTCGATGAACACAAGTATGTTTTTTAATACAGATTTACTACTTAAACTTCACTAAACCCAGCAATCACAAATTTATTTTTTGGCACTTAGCCATCCATTGTGAGTTGTCGATCTGACACTAAACTAATAACAACAAATAACAACAACAAATGACATTTGTAAAAGGGCCTTTGACGTCGGGAGGACGTCCCAAGGTGCTGGACAGTCAGGAATTTGGACCCGAGCAGGGAATTGGGATCAGGGAGAGGTGGAGGTCAGGCAGGGTAGGGTTAGGAAGGTGGCCGAATGTGCGGTCGAAGAGGAGTGTCTTGAGATGTGATTTCAAGGAGGCAAAGGGAGGGAGCGAGACATATAAATAAAAGATTTAATTTTGAATGGTATTTCCAGGACTCGTCGACTCTCCCTTATTCTCATGCCCTGTCTTCCCTCGTTCCAAACTTCCCAGTGGGCTGACCACGCACTGCTGAAGCCCTGCCCTTTGGCCTTGCTTACTGTCATCTCCCGACTCCCCTCAGCTAAGTGTCAGGTTCTACCACTGTTAAGCGCTCTGAGACCCAACCCCACATGAGGAGTACTATATAAATGCAAGTTGTTGTTGTTGCTCCCAGTATCAGGGTGTGGATTTTGGCTGTTGACCCTGACCCGAGCTCTCCCCCCAAATGCCCCTCCTTCTATTCCCCCACCATTAACCATTCCCACTCATTTCTCATAAGAACATACGAATTGTTAGATGAAAGAAGACCAAGGTCCATCCACCATCCTGCCAGTCGCAAGCACATGTCATGTCCCAGGCTATATAGTGTATCCCCCGATTTTATTTCCTAAAAGTCAATTTAGAAGAACATAACAACTTCCTGAATACTGAACTTCTCAGCCCTCTGAAACGCTATCCCACATAAAGGGTGTCATATAAATGCAAGTTGCTGTTGTTGTTGAAAGGTGAGACAAATGACCTTAAAATAAAGGCTTCTCAACAACTTCTCAGTTTGTCAATCAGTACGTTAACACAACACTTCAGCTGCTCTGTCTAACAGAGAAGAGAATGACTTTTCCTAAGCAAACACTTTCAGAAAGCTGCAGACTGGAATAACGACAACAACAACTTGCATTTATATAGCGCCCTTCACGTGGGGCTAGCATCTCGGAGCGCTTAAATAAAAGCTCATCTGCATCGCTCTTAATAAGAATTTCAACATGCTTTATAAAGGCTGTTTCGCCAGGAGGAATCGTGCCTGTCGTGTTGGCTGAACATAAAGCACAAAAGAAAGCCAGAAAAACTGATGGCTTATTATTATTATTATTATTATTATTATTATTATTATTGACAACATTTCTTTCCCAACCTGGGACCTGATGGTCAGTGATGCACCAGAGTATCACAGTGCCAACACTGCAGTCCTCACACAGTAACAGCCCAGAGCCAGGAGCTGGACCAAGCCTGGCATTTCGTTCCTCTTCTAACACAGCCCAGCACAGCCGGTCCCTTATTCTTTATAACCCCCCCACTCACCCAGTCAGCAATCAGCCTTCCAACCTCCTTCCAGCCTCTGAGACGGGAGATCTGTGCAGTGTGACCGCTTCACACAGTCTGAACCTGTTCAGTTGCTCTTGAACATGAAGCCTCCCTGAGAGCAGCTGCCGTCCCAGACACACACCACAGCAAATCCTCACTGCCCGCAGTCACATGGGGTGAGTGCCCTGAACCACAGCGATAGGGCTGTGTGTGTGTGTGTGTGTGCAGCTCAGGGTCCAATAACTGCTTCGGAAATAGTTACATAAGAAAGGTTTTTCCAGGTGGGATACCCGGACTCACATTCATAAAGTCCTCGCCTGGCTCTCTCTCTCTGTCTGTCTGACTGTCTCTCTCTGTCTGTCTGACTGTCTCTCTCTGTCTGTCTGACTGTCTGTCTCTCTCTCTCTCTCTCTGGCTCTCTCTCTCTCTCTCTGTCTGACTCTCTCTCTCTGTCTGTCTGACTGTCTCTCTCTGTCTGTCTGACTGTCTGTCTCTCTCTCTCTCTCTCTGGCTGTCTGTCTCTCTCTCTCTGGCTGTCTGTCTCTCTCTCTCTCTCTCTCTCTGTCTGTCTGACTGTCTGTCTCTCTCTCTCTCTCTCTGGCTGTCTGTCTCTCTCTCTCTGGCTGTCGGTCTCTCTCTCTCTGGCTGTCTGTCTCTCTCTCTCTGGCTGACTGTCTCTCTCTCTCTGGCTGACTGTCTCTCTCTCTCTGGCTGACTGTCTCTCTCTCTCTGGCTGACTGTCTCTCTCTCTCTGGCTGTCTGTCTCTCTCTCTCTCTCTCTGGCTGTCTGTCTGTCTCTCTCTCTCTCTCTCTGGCTGTCTGTCTCTCTCTCTGGTTGTCTGTCTCTCTCTCTGGCTGTCTGTGTCTCTCTCTCTGGCTGGCTGTCCCTCTCTCTCTCTGGTTGTCTGGCTGTCTCTCTCACTCTGACTGTCTGTCTCTCTCTCTCTGGCTGTCTGTCTCTCTGTGGCTGGCTGTCTGTCTCTCTCTGGCTGGCTGTCCCTCTCTCTCTCTGGCTGTCTGGCTGTCTCTCTCTCTCTGACTGTCTCTCTCTCTCTGACTGTCTGTCTGTCTCTCTCTCTCTGACTGTCTGTCTCTCTCTCTCTGACTGTCTGTCTCTCTCTCTGACTGTCTCTCTCTCTCTGACTGTCTCTCTCTCTCTGGCTGCCTGTCTGTCTCTCTCTGGCTGGCTGTCTCTCTCACTCTGACTGTCTGTCTGTCTCTCTCTGGCTGCCTGTCTGTCTCTCTGTGGCTGTCTCTCTCTCTCTCTGGCTGCCTGTCTGTCTCTCTGTGGCTGCCTGTCTGTCTCTCTGTGGCTGTCTGTCTGTCTCTCTGTGGCTGCCTGTCTGTCTCTCTGTGACTGGCTGTCTCTCTCTCTCTCTCTGGCTGTCTGTCTCTCTCTCTCTCTCTGACTGACTGTCTCTCTCTCTCACGGTTTTGTTTCCTTAACATAGACACCACAATCTCCAGATGTGCTGAGAAACAAACAAGACCCTCACTGGGGTTTTCTCACTCCTGGTTTTCTCTGTGTTGATGATGAATGCGGTGAAGGGTTTGCAATGCAATGCTGCCCCCCCCCAACCCCCCCACCCAAACAGCAGGAGAACAGCCACTGGATTGCAGCCCCTGGGATTGCCTTCCCCTAATGTGTACATTCATTACCCAGCTATGTGGTGACTGACTGACTGAACAGGCAGTGGTGCTAACCTAAGGTGATGTGCTCGGCCAATGATATCACATCAGCCAAAAACATCTGAGCTCTTCACACAAACACGGGTTGAAATCTTACACTCCATTTGCATATCCACCCGACTCAAATTCCCCACCACCAACCACCTCGAGTAATCGTAATCTTTTACGGAATCTTCCCTTCATCGTGCAGCATTTCTGATAATAGTAACCATAATCCGTCTTCAAGGCGTCTCAAAGCGCTTCACCAGGTATTCTGTAAAGTGAATTGACTGTGTATTTTGTGGGCGAAACACGTTTTTTCCAGCCGATTGCGCACAGCAGTGTCCCATAAACAGCCGTGGATTAAGTGTCCAAATTATTATTTTTTAAAATGTATTTATTGAGATGTTCCCAGAAACACTGGTTGAAATCTTACGCATTATAATTTAGTCACCTAATCCATGACTGTGCGCAATTGGCTGCCGCAGTTCACCCACAAAATATACAATCATTACACTTTACAGTATATTCTGTGAAGCGCTTTGAAACATTTCGAAGACGTGATAAGGCGCTATATCAAATGCAAGGATTATTATCATGCATGCACCCACCTCGAATTCCCCTTCACCGCCCTGATTACTTGCGTAATATTACTTTCATAATATGAAACAGTGACTCCGCTTAACAGTGGTGGAGTCAGGCTACGCCACTGTGTAGCTCTCTGAGACGCTACCCTGCGTGGAGGGCGCTGTATAAGTGCAAGTTGTTGTTCATGTGCAGTATTTATATTATAATAATAATATTCCTTGCATTTGACATTGCGCTTATCTCGCCTTCGAGCTATCTCATAGCACTTCACAGAATATACTGCAAAGTTAATTAACTATATTTTGTGGGTGAAACGCGCAGCCAATTGCGCACAGCAGTGTCCCACAAACAGTCGTAGATTGAGTGACCAAATTTTTTTATTTTGATGGGGAGGGATTATTACCTCCAGAAAAGTGATTCACTCATCAACAAACATCCAGATTGCTACGAACTGCTAGGTAAACAGAGGCGTGTGGAGTAAGGAAACTTGCCTAACATTTTGGCCTGCCCGGGAATCAAACCCAGGTCCTCTTGTTTGCGAGGCGAGTGCTCTAACCATTACACTACAGGTCTCCAATAGTAATATTCCTTTCGTTTACAGTATTTATGACTGTTTTTTTTGCCCACAAAATACACAGTCAATCCACTTTACAGTATATCCTGTGAAGTGCTGTGAGATGTCTCAACAATGTGGTGAGGCGCTATACCTATTCCAAGGAATATTATTATTATCATTGTTTATTATTTTGATCTTATCACCATTTTTAATTTATTTCATCCTAGCAAGTTGTGTCATGGCTGAAGATTACCTGAAAGTTAAGGTTAATGGCACTATGATTAATAATATCACCTCAAGATACACAGTGGATCTAACAGTAAATCCTATGAGGCGCTTTGAGACATCTCAAAGACGTGACAAGAACCTTCTCCAGTTGGTAGCACTCTCACCTCTGAGAAAAGGTTGTGGATTCAAGCACCACATTGGGACATTGAACTCATAGTCTAGACCAGTGCCAACCAAACTAAGGCCTGTGTGGCCGTCAAGAAGCGGCCCCAGGAACACTTGTGTTCGATCGGTAGTGCGTTTCCTTTTTTTATCTTGGTTGAATATGTCTTGATCTCAGGAATATTGTAGAGGGATATGGTATAAATCAAGAAATATTCAATCAGAAAAATGTATTTTGTTGGCCAACCAAAACGATTAGACTGACGCTCCAGTGCAGTGCCGGGAATGTGCTGCATTGTCAGAGGTGCTGCCCTACGGATGAGATCCTTACAGTTAATAAAGCAGGTGAATGTTAAGCATCCCATAGCACTATTTGAAAAGAGTCCTGAAATTTTCTCCCAGTGTTCTGGCCAGCAATCTCCTGATGAAATTGGTCATTCACCTCAGAGAATTGTTGGCTAGGAAACTCCTTTCCCCTTTTGAATTGTGCCATGGGATCTTTAATATCTTTTTATGCAAATTGGCTGACGTGTTTCTGTAACCTACGTATATATTTAGAAAATATTCTGTGTACTTCATAATATCTAACCCTAAATTGACAGTATTTCTTCCAGATATTCAAATTGGTTAATGTATACTGAAAACCAAGTCTCGATCTGATTAGCTTTTGTACTGACTAGTTTGAATATTTAAATAAAATAAATAATTAACCCAGCCCATTATTGTATTGGGACGTTTAAAACAGAGATGGACTAAATTCTGTCAATTCTCTATCAAAAAAATCATTTGAAAGTAACAGAATTCAGTGAAATATACGACATTTTTTATTAAAATGCATATCGAATTCCATTGACCTTTTTGTGTGCAAACATATCCATGTTATTGGAGTAAAATTCTTAATTGGCCTTCATTAACAGATGGAGATCAAAGCTGTGTTATTTTCTGATGTAAATTCCATCTTTCCTTAGGCTTTTAACATCAGTGCTAATATATGACTAGTTGATCTTGGCGTTGATCTTGGGACGTCCTCCCGACGTGAAAGATGCTATACAAATGTAATTTTGTTGTTGTTGTTGTTTATAAGCTGCAGGTTAATATGCAGGGACCCATCATGGCATATTGGCCAGCAGATAGATGGGGAATCCATTTATTTAAGTGAAACCTGCTTTAATTTCAGCTATGTTGTTTTCAGTCATAAACATCTGTTTCTTGTAGTGATTGTATAATTGTTTTTGGTGTCTGGCACATGTGCAAACCCATCACATGTTTGAGTATCCAAACCAAACTGAGAGTTCCATGCATCCACTTACACGTGGAAATTCCAGAGATGTTTGTTGGAATGCAATGCTCACTCTCTACCTTGAGGGACATATCCTGCTTAGCTAATTCCGGAAAGTATTAGGTGCAGGTTGGCAAGAGCTAAGGATTGGGGTCCCCAGAGTGTGTGTTGGGGTGTTGGGGTACTGTTGGAGTCTAACCAGCTAAAACTGAATGGCTTGCTATTCAAAGCACTGTCTGGCAAACTTTCTCGCTGCTTGTCCAGCTAGGACCACTCAGCCCATTAGAGCTTTAGCTTGCAGGGTTAAGCTGAGTGTGAAGAGTGCCTGCCCCCCAGGGACTGGTCTGCCCTTCCAAGTGCTGCTGCTGAGCCGGGCTGGCTGTGCTGTTACCAGCAGTGCCCTAGAGTACTGCGGATTATCGAGACCACCACAGGGGATTGGCTCGATTCCGACATTTTGTTGCCAAACTTGTCACCTTGGAACTGACTGTGTAACCAGAAACAGCTGTTATTATCAGATGTTTTTCTCTCAATTTAGCATAGAGAAGATGCTTTACTGCCACTGAGCTAGTTTTGATGAACCTTTGCAATATAGCCTGGAAGCAAGCTACTGTTGATATCAGTGTCTCACTGCACAAATTTCAATATGTATGACATATACAGGATACCAGTTCACAATTTGCTAGACATTCTGGGCATGGAATAATCTGAGTCTTTGTTGAACCTACCAATTTCCAAAACTAGCCATTTTGAAGATTTGCTAAAGCTTTGAAAGCATCTGCATGACTGTCCAGAAAAGACCAAACCAAATATTCTCTTTCAACACAACACACCTGATCAAAATACCTGAATAGCAAAGCAATGAGATTAGATTC